CCGCGGGCTGCGACCCCGGTGGGGTTGCACCGAGGCAGGGTGAGGTTTCTATGTGTGGTGTGGCGCAAACCCCCCACCCCACTCCACTCGGTACTTGGGCCGGCAGAAAGATGACAGTGTCCATCGGACCCCTTTCCACCTGCGGGGACTTCGGTGCCCTCCAGCTCTGGGGCGTGTGGTGGCACGCGGGAAAGGGGTCGCGTACATGTGGGCGGCTGATGACTCGAGGCAGGTAGCGGCAACACTCCACTCAGACCACTTCCTGGAGTTAGACTTGAGCTACCCCCCACTTCCCCAGCTGGGGGATCGTGAGAGTCAGTTAAGATTGGGGGACGAGAGGAAAGTGGGGAGCCAGATGTCCCCGGCCCCACCCCCTTCATCTCTGTTCTGTTTCGGGCTCTTTTGTGTCAAGTGCGACCCCCTCTCCCCCTCTCCTGTCAGTCTGGGCTGGCCGAACTGCCCAGCTGTGACTCTCACGTGGCTGCCATTCACTGTCACTCACTCTTTGGCCGAAACCACCCACACCCTGACCGTGCTGGGGGGGGCGTAACCTGCCCACCCAGCTGGTCTGCAGCTTGACCATCACTCAGCACCCCTCTCCCTGAATGACAAGTCACCCGGCGCTCTGGGCGGCACTCTCCGGGAGTGATGGAGATAGACTGCTGCCTGGCATCAGGAGCCCAGCAGTGGCTCCCTTCAGACCACCCTCCTCGTGGAGGGATTTTGGGGCTTCCTTGGGATAGGTGAGCCTTATGGTGTCTGCACCCGCTGCTTGGGGACTGCAGAGCAGTACAGATGCCCCAGACTTCAAAACGTCTACCATCATGCTCTTTGTAAAACTGTCATATTGATCCGTGTGGCTTATGTGGCACATGTTCTTATCTAGTTGAGGCAACCTTTGAGGAGGCAGTGAGGGAGTGCTTTCTTGTGTGGGTGGGTGGGGGTGTGTGTTTAATGGAGACTGGTTAAAGTCTCCCTGTGCCCCCAGGCTTGTCTATATTATAAAGGGAAAAGTTTTTAAAAAGTTATCCCAGAGAGCCAGCCGGCAGAATTCACAGGAGGAAAAAGAAATAAAAGAGTCGTGGGGAAAGGGTTGCCTGTAGGGTTGCCTCCAGCAAGGTGCCGAAAGAGGGAAAGAAAGGATGTCAGGTGAGTTAGGGGAATAGCAGCCCTCACCTATTTTGTATTCTGAACTTGGAATCTGGTATTTGGGTGTTTTTGATCCCGGATCTGGGTTTCAGAGAGGGGGGCGCATGAAAGAATCTAAGGTTGAGATGGGTCTTTGTGTCCTACTCCCTCCCCCTTTCCCTCTTTGCTTTCTGAATCGTGAAGAAACGTCAGACGCTTTTAAAGTGTTACATCTAAAGTGAAATTGCACCTCTCCTCTCTCCCTGGGCAATGCTATCTCCCTTTCAGCCCTCCGAGTCAAATGAGTGACCCAGATACACCCCCTCAGATGACTTTCTGAGGTAAAACTTTGGGAAAATATTTTTAGCCTGCTCATTATCTCTGTCTACCTAAGTGTGGGGAGAATAAGCCTCCTCAGAGGAGATCTGCTCAGGCTGCCCTCCCTCATCCTTTTCTGGAACATGAATTTGTACATCTGAGAGCTTTCCATTGTTTTTCAGTCCGACCGCTTTGATTCTCACCATTTTGTTTTACATTCTTACTCAAGACCAATTTTATCCCTTCCCCCTCGCTCCAGTCTCCTTACATTGTTAAACGTTTAAAATAATAGCACTCGTGTTGGTGGGGGAAGGGAGCAGGAAGCCAAAAAAACTCATTTCTTCTCCCTCCCCCTTCTGGCAAGTCTAGAGAAATAATATAACATAATATATAGATGTGATTCCTTGAGGTGGGGGTGGGGAATGATTGTGGGTGGTGCGGAAAATTCTGGTAGTTTCTTTGCAAAAGGTCTGAAAATACAAACCCACCCCCTGCGTGCAGTACGCATGTGCAGCAGACCTATTATGGAGGTTCGTTGTGGGGGAGGGAGGGGAATTTGAGAAAAAATAAATATATGTGTGAGAGATTGATGGTGAGATTAGGAGAGAGGGGCGGGTGGGAGGCGAGGCTTTCGCGCAGGCTCCTCCCCCGGGCTTGAGCAGCCAGGCTCCACCCTCCCTCCCCGCCTTCCCGAGATCTGAGCTGGGATGTGGGAGAGTCTGGGCTCCAGGCCAGCATTGAGTGGCTGCTGAGACAGAGGTTAGGACTTAGATTTGCTTTATTACCCTCCCTTGCCTCCCCTCGCCCGTTCTCCTTTGCCTTCCCCGCCGCGGACGTCCGTCCAAGTTCGGGAACCTCCTGCTGCGCGGGGGGGGGGGTAGTGGAGTTCACAGGCTGTGCGGGCCCCCACCCCCAGCTGGGAGTGACCCAGGCCACTTTCCTGATCCTTCGCCAGTTGGCCTGCCCTTGCCACTGCCCCGGCAGCCTCCGTTTCCATGTTCGTGTTAACCCAAGTCCCTGGGGTTCAGGGGAGCCTGGCGTCCTCCTGACTTCCTACTACAGTTCCCCCTTCATCCCCCACCTCGGTTTTCACACCCTGGTCCTAGGCAGGCAGCCCCCTTTCACGTCCACAGCCAGTGCTAGAGTGTCCTCCTGGTTCAGCGCAAGAGGACACAGGTTGCCAGAGTTAGGAGAAAAAGTAGTGTGAAAGGAGGGAGGTGCCAGGAATTTGAGGGAATGGAAACCCAGGCCTCTGGTTGTTAATTGTGGCTAATTTTCCTTGCTGTTGAGGGAAAGAGGATTGTGTGTCCTAGAGCAAGGGTCTGGGCCAAACCCAGGCTTTCCCCTCCTGCAGCAGCTGCCTCTGCCTGGACAAGACAGGTCTGGCTGGTTAGTCTAGTGCTTAGGTGCCAGAGGCTAACAGGGGCCCAGTCTGTGTGGCATCAGTTTGTATGGCACATCGTCTTCCTGTTCAGGAGCAACACTGGCTCCCAAGCCTCAGCAGACTGGCAGGGGTCATGGAGTATAGGGTGGAGGAGACATCAGGGAAGAACCTGCCCAGGGCCACTTGACAGAGGCTTCTGGTGAGAGAGTCAGGGATCTTGACCTGCAGAAGCAGGTACAGGCTGACTCCTGGATTTGTGCCCGTGAGTGTGTGTACATTGGAGAACACAAATGCTGGGCATCTCTGTCTACCCATATCTTTGTTTCATTTGGACTCCTAGGTTGTCTGTATAGTGATGGATCAGGATGTCTGGAACAGAGAATAGAGGGGAAGAGTAAAATCAGGGGATAAAGGGTGCAGCCCCTGGGTTCTCAAGGGGAGCAAGAATATGGGAATAGATTTGGAAGCAGATTTCAAGTCATTAAGGGAATTCTGGAGATTTCCTCCTCTCTGGTTAGAATGCAGGCAGACACTATGATCCTGTGGGCAAGAAATGAAAATGACTGGCTGAGGATTTCTTTTCCTCTAGGACTATGTTGGGGTGACAAGATGCCGGTGATTATCCCAGGAAATGTAAATAGAGGCCTCCCTCTTGGCAAAAAGCATGTCAGCCCCCAGGGTGTTAGTGTGAGAACCCAGGTGTCCACCTTTGGCTCTCCCTTCTCAGCATCTGGCTTAGGGAGCTGCCAGCTTGTGTCTCCCCACTCCAAGTGCTGGGGTCAGGCCAGGCCAGCAGCTGGGCATGGCTTCCCCCAGTTCCTGGGCAGGATGCCAGCTGGCGAAGTGAGGGGAAGGCAGGAGGAGTCCTGGCGGCGACTGAAAGGACCTGCCACAGTCAGAGCCCGTGGCCTGGAGCCTGGTCCCTTGTTAGTAGGAGGGGAGAGAAGGGAGTGGTTTGGCGTTCTTCCTTTCTGACCCCTGACCTCCCATTCAGAACCAGAGCATCCCAGAGTACTCAACACACTCTGTTTGCATCCAGTGAAAGGCAGCAAGGTTTGGAGGAGTTAATGCCCAGTTCCTAGAGAGTGGGACTGAGGCAGTGGGGAAGGGGGTGTGGAAGGGCCTTAGAGATTAGGAACCTAGAGGCTTATGTTTTCTGATGTTCTCTGCTCCAAAGATAAGGATGACATTCGGCTGCTGCCTTCAGCATTGGGTGTGAAGAAGAGAAAGCGAGGACCCAAGAAACAGAAGGAAAACAAGCCAGGCAAACCCCGCAAACGCAAGAAACTTGTAAGTGACAGGGATTCCTAATTTTGTGGCAAGCCTCAGGGACCTTTCCCAGAGAATCACATTTTCTTTTTTCCTGATTATCCAGGTAGGGAGGTGTCCTGAAGTCAAGGAGGCTTGACCCCTTTCACACTCCCCCACACCCCACTACTTTGTATCTCTTGGATCTAGGACCCTAACCTCACTCTCTACAACCTGGTGAAGAGCCCAATAATTGTTGATGTGACTTGCCCTAACATCCAACAGAAGCAGTCTTGGAGGAAAACTGTATTGAGTTCAGACCCCTCTGTCTTCCTGGGCAATTTATTTAGCTCCCTGTGCCTCAGTTTCTTCATCTGTAAAGTGGATCAATGAATCAGTTATTATACAATTGTTGTGGAGATGGAAATAAAATGTAATGTGCTAAGAACAGTTCTTGGCACATCGTAAGGATGAATAAATGATATTTTTATTTCTCTCTCTAGGACAGTGAGGAAGAATTTGGCTCAGAGCGAGATGAGTACCGGGAGAAGTCAGAGAGTGGGGGTAGTGAATATGGAACTGGACCAGGTCGGAAAAGAAGACGGAAGCACCGAGAAAAAAAGGAAAAGAAGACAAAGCGGAGGAAAAAGGGGGAGGGTGATGGGGGCCAAAAGGTGAGTAGGATTAGAGAGCAAGGGTGAGTAGTCAGCATTAGAGAGGCATATCTAACATCTGAGAAACAGGCATGAGCAGGAAGGGAATTCCCTGAGGCGTAGTCTGTGAGGGATAGGGTTGGACTAGAGAAGGGAGCAAGAAGCTGGTAGGTAAGTATTGAGGCATGTGTGGGGGCCCAGGAGAGAGCCCGGGGAGTGCCCACCTCACTGAAGTTCCCCCTACTCAGCAGGTGGAACAGAAGTCATCAGCAACTCTACTTCTGACCTGGGGCCTGGAGGATGTGGAGCATGTGTTCTCTGAGGAGGATTACCACACACTCACCAACTACAAAGCCTTCAGCCAGTTCATGAGGTGGGATGGAACTGGGAGTCCTCTTGAACAGACAATTTTAGGGAGGTCCTGAATCCCTCTGGAATTTGATCATTGCAAAGAAATTACTCTCCAGAGAAATTCTCAGCCCATGCTCACAAAATTTCACATCGTAATTTCAAGGCATTCTTGGACTCCTAAGTATCCCAGGATTCCAGTTAAGAATACTTCACTGAGGGGCGTGAGGGACAGAGATCATGATTCCAGTCCTAGGTTAGGGAACTGTCTAGCAACAGAATATAGTGAGTCCTTTCCTAGCCCAGCATTCCCATTTTCCCCTCTATGACTTCTTTAAACTCATTCTGGGAGATACCATCATTGTTTCAGAATTTCCCTTGGTCATTTATCGAGTCTCTGCATCTTCCTTAAGTCCCAGTAACAATGGAGAATGCTTTGCTGCCAGTGGGCCTAAGCTACAATGGCCTTCAAAGTATAGAATAGTCTTTTGGGGAAGGAGGCATTTTTAACAGAAATTATTATCCTGGAAGCAATTATGAGGTTCAGGCCCTGGTCTCATTTTGGGCAAGTAACTTAATTTATTTGATCCTCAGTTTCCTCACCTGTAAAATAGGAATAATAATGGTTTTACTGACAGGAATCTGTGGATTTGATGGGATAGTGAGTACAAAGCCCAGTACATTTGGTATCTAGCCCCAGGATGTGTTAACTGATAGCTGTCTTTAGTAAAGTTTCACTTACCTTACTGCTAAAGATGGTGCTTTTGTTGTCACTCAGGGCCACATATGTCTTCACCAGAGCTTAACCACCCTATAGCAGAGCAGAACAATGTGGCCATCAGTGTTCCAGAATTTCCTTTGCTTATTTATTAAATCTTCATTTATCAGACTCCTTCCTACTGGAACCTTTTTTCAGGTTCCATGAGTTTAACTAGTATAATGCAGTGAATTATAGCAAGAATTATTGTGAAAATGAAATGAGATGTTATATAAAAGTGTTTTAAACTGTGAAATAGTATACAGAAGTAAATCATTTGAGTTTATATTATTCTTTTTTACTTTATTCTTTTTAGCTTCTTTTTGGCTTTGAAATTTTATTTTGCTTTTTTCTTACTGTTTTTTTAAACTTCCTTTCACTTATTTATTATTTAAATTGATTTTTTTCTTAATAGATTATATTTTTATCACCCAGAAATCCTACAGACTATTGATGAGGGAAGATGGCAGTATTCCTAGACCATCTGTGAAGGGTTTGAGTTCTGCTTCTATACTTACAGGCCCCTAATTGCTAAGAAGAATCCTAAGATCCCAATGTCTAAGATGATGACCATCCTTGGGGCCAAGTGGAGAGAGTTCAGCGCCAACAACCCCTTTAAGGGGTCAGCAGCTGCTGTGGCTGCGGCAGCAGCAGCAGCAGCAGCAGCTGTGGCTGAGCAGGTGTCAGCTGCTGTCTCCTCAGCCACCCCCATAGCACCTTCTGGACCCCCTGCCCTTCCACCACCCCCTGCTGCTGATATCCAGCCCCCACCCATCCGAAGAGCCAAAACCAAAGAGGGCAAAGGTAGGAAATGCACTTATTCAACCACTGTCACTCCACCCTCCAAACTGCCTAGAACTCTTGCCTTCCCAGCCCCAGTTGCTAGAAGAAAAACATTTTCCAGAAAGAGGGTCTTAGTGAAATCATAGCCCACAGAGTAATCCCCATGACCTTTGTTTACCAGGATGTGCTATGACTTCTGGTTTCTCTCTCCTCGTTTCTACCCTCATTCAGGTCCAGGCCATAAGAGGCGGAGTAAGAGCCCCCGAGTGCCTGATGGACGTAAGAAGCTTCGGGGAAAGAAGATGGCACCACTTAAAATCAAACTAGGGCTTCTTGGTGGCAAGAGGAAAAAGGGAGGCTCGGTGAGTGACCCCTTAGTTTCTGCTAAATACCTGGGCATCAAGGGCTAGGGTCCAGAGACAGGTCTACAAGGGAAGCTGGACCTGGGACCCCAAGGCCTGGGGAGGGGAGTGGAATTAAGTCTGCCTCACTGACAACCACCGGCAGTATGTTTTTCAGAGTGATGAGGGCCCTGAACCAGAGGCTGAGGAGTCAGACCTGGACAGTGGCAGTATCCACAGTGCTTCAGGCCGGCCTGATGGCCCTGTCCGCACCAAGAAACTAAAGAGAGGCCGGCCAGGAAGGAAAAAGAAGAAGGGTAAGGGGTGCTTATTCTGTGTGAGTCTGTCATTCTGCCTTTTTCCCTCCTTTTGCCATTTTTCTTCTTTCCAATTTTGACTTCTTACTCAACTCTTCTGTGTGTGTGTGTGTGTGTCTCTCTCTCTCCCTCCCTCCCTCCTCCCTGGATACCCTTTTTTCTCTCTCTTGCTTGTGCTTTCTCTCTCTCTCCCCTTGCCTTCACTGGGGTATATGACAGTCCTGGGCTGTCCTGCAGTGGCCGGGGAGGAGGAGGTTGATGGCTACGAGACGGATCACCAGGATTACTGTGAGGTGTGCCAGCAGGGTGGGGAAATTATTCTGTGCGACACCTGCCCTCGTGCCTACCACCTCGTCTGCCTTGATCCTGAGCTTGACCGGGCTCCTGAGGGCAAATGGAGTTGCCCCCACTGTGTGAGTACCTCATGCCCCTAGGAACCCACCCACCTCTTTTTCCTTCTTGTTTTCAGTTATTCTTTTTCACCCCCAAATGCCTGGGCTCCTCAGTAATGGATGTCTCAGCATCCAGGATCCTAATTGGGTGCTTTCCCCCATCTCTTTGCCCCCATAGTCAACATTTTTGGAAATTGGGGTGTTCTATTCCTTAGTTTCCACCAGTCTTCTCTGCACTTCTAGGATTCAGGCATCCTGTTTTTGCCTCTATTCTCTAGTCTCACTCCTTAATCCTTTCCTTTATGTCTGTACTTGACCTTCTAGGAGAAGGAGGGGGTACAGTGGGAGGCCAAGGAGGAAGATGAAGAATATGAAGAGGAGGGAGAGGAGGAAGGGGAGAAGGAGGAAGAGGATGATCACATGGAGTACTGCCGTGTGTGCAAGGATGGTGGGGAGCTCCTGTGCTGTGACGCTTGCATATCCTCCTACCACATCCACTGCCTGAACCCTCCCCTGCCTGACATCCCCAATGGTGAATGGCTGTGTCCCCGATGCACAGTGAGTAGAACCACCTTCTTGGCATTTACCATGAGGCCTGACCCCTTTGTCCCTCTCTGGGGCCCAGATGTTTAGGTCTTCCTTTCTCTGCCCCCTCCCCTTCTGGCACCTTTCTTCTCCTAACAAGGGGTTCTTTCTGCCTTTCTTCTTTCTCATGTGTGTCCAACTTGAAGTGTCCAGTGCTGAAGGGTCGTGTGCAGAAGATCCTGCATTGGCGATGGGGGGAGCCACCTGTGGCAGTGCCAGCCCCTCAACAGGCAGATGGGAATCCAGATGTACCACCCCCCCGCCCTCTTCAAGGCAGATCTGAGCGAGAATTTTTTGTCAAGTGGGTAGGACTATCCTACTGGCACTGTTCCTGGGCCAAGGAGCTTCAGGTACAAGAGCCTTTCTTTTGCCCCTCTTCTGGGACCTTGATTATTGCCATTCTACTCTGGTCTTCCATTTCCTTTGTTTTCTTTCATTTTAGGCTTCTGTTCTCATATCTTTGCAACTTCCATGGTTTTCATAGGTTTCCAGTCTTCTTTCTCTTCATTTTCATTAGCTTTCTTTCCTTAGAGATAAAATAGCCTTTCTTCACTTTATTTAATTTCATGTTTTATCAATCTCCACGATTTTGTGTGTGTGTGTGTGTGTGTGTGTGTGTGTGTGTGTGTGTGTGTGTGTGTTTGGATTCAAACCCAGGGCCTGGCAAAGGCTAGGCAAGCTCTCTACCCCTGAGCTATACTAGCCCATCCACACTCTTAATAACCATATTCTCTGCCTGTGTTTTGCTCTTCCTGGCCCCACCCAGGCCCTGTCTTCTGACTATTCCATCTGTTCATTTTATTTGTTCTCCTGCTTTGGCATTGGCTTTTTTTTGCTCATCTATTCTCTTTTAAAGTCATTCTCTTCTCCCAGCAGGCCTTTTCTCTGTCACCCTTCGTCCTCTCTGGATGTTGGAACTATCTCTTCTCTTTCTCTCTGTGCATCAGCTGGAAATCTTCCACTTGGTAATGTACCGAAACTACCAACGGAAGAACGACATGGATGAGCCTCCGCCCCTGGATTATGGCTCTGGTGAGGATGATGGGAAGAGTGACAAGCGCAAGGTGAAAGATCCACACTATGCAGAGATGGAGGAGAAGTACTATCGTTTCGGCATCAAGCCAGAGTGGATGACTGTCCATCGAATCATCAACCACAGGTGAGTCCTTGGTCTGTGGGAAGGCCAATCTGGGATATGATACTGTTCTTACTGTGGAGATGATCTTGTGTTAATGTCTGTTAATAGACTAAGTGACTGAATGAAACTTGATTACTCCTGCTAAAGCTCTAGCCTTCTGGCCTAGCTTCCTCTATGGGGTAGGAGAACCCAGGAGGAAAGTCCAGCCCAGCATTTGTCTTTGCTGTCACTAATTTCCCAATAGCATAAGAGATTCCCACATGGGTCTGGGAATGGGGGCAAGAAAATGAAACACGAGAAGCACAGTTCATCCAGATTCTTTTTTTCTTCATAGTATTTATTACTGCCTAATGTTATGTTATATATTCATTGCTGCCTTCCCAGTAGAATGTGAGCTCTCTGATAGGGTCATTTGTCTGTTTTGTTCACTGCTGGATCTAGTACCTGGAACAGTGCCTGGCACATAGTAGATGCTCAGTAAATACTAATTGGAAGAATGAAGGTTGGAGGATTCTTCAGGAATATTTTGTGAAAGTTGATATTTACCTGCCATCCTAAAAGATTAGGATAGTACTTAAATCATTCTGAATTCCCTTCCTTTGGCCTGCCATTGAGGGTGAGGTGACAAATGCTTCATGTCTGTTGATACTTGTGTTTATCAGGACTTCTTGCTCTTTGTGATTATTTTCTTCCTCCTGTTACACAGTGTGGATAAAAAAGGGAATTACCACTATCTTGTGAAATGGAGGGACTTGCCCTATGACCAGTCCACATGGGAAGAAGACGAAATGAACATTCCTGAATATGAAGACCATAAGCAAAGTTACTGGAGACATCGGTGAGGGAACCAGGTCATGGATTAGAGGGAGAGTAAGGATGGCACCTGAAAGCTAAATGAGGATGAAGTAGAGACACAGCCAAGCTAGAGTTTAGGGAAGTGGCCACCTGGGCTGGGTTGTTTGGGTGGGGTCAGAAAACAGCCAGTACAAGTAACAGAAATAAGATCTGTCCTGAGCAATAGGTAAGAAGTTGCTTGGGAGTGGAGAAGGTTAGCTTTCAGGGTGAAGTATAAAAAGTGATGGTATAGAGACTGGGAGAAAAAAATACAAGAAAATCTAGGTTACGAACAGTGGGTTCAGGAAAATGGGAGGGGTTTCAAGGACTAGGCCTCACTCAGACATATTCTTTTCCCAGAGAACTTATTATGGGGGAGGACCCTGCCCAACCCCGCAAGTATAAGAAGAAGAAGAAGGAACTGCAGGGTGACGGGCCTCCCAATTCTCCTACTAATGATGTAAGTTCTCTTAGCTGGCCTTTCTCTTTTCTGGAGCCATGGTGATTGAAGTTTTTCATGGGACTCTTGACACAGCTTCCCAGGGTTTTAGCAACTTCTTTGAATAGTAGCTCTTCTCTCGGTGTTCAGCATTGTCTTGAGAGAGGCTAGGAATTTTGGCATAAGAGTGAGAGCTACTATAGATAGCAGCCCAGTAGGGCTCTTGTACCATCTAGCATTTCCTCATGGTGCTGCTGCATGTTGTTTTAAGGAGTGAAGAGAGGAATTAAAGATTAGAACTTTGATAAGTTCAGGACATAACAGAGAGAATTATAATCCAACTTGATACTGGTGCCAGAGAGGGAGGGGAAGACCAAGACCAGAGGAGCCCTGACTATTCCCTTGAGCTTTCTGACTTCTTGACTCTACAGCCTACAGTGAAATATGAGACTCAGCCACGGTTTATCACAGCTACTGGAGGAACACTGCACATGTACCAGCTGGAAGGGCTGAATTGGCTACGTTTTTCATGGGCCCAGGGCACCGACACAATTCTGGCTGATGAGATGGGGCTGGGAAAGACCATTCAAACCATCGTCTTCCTCTACTCACTCTATAAGGAGGTGCTACATTCTAGGCCTCTAAGTGGGCAACTGGGCTAAGACCTAGTTTAGAATAGGGAAGAGGGGTGGAGGATGGACTTACATAGCAGATAGCAGGTTGGGTTGTATACCCTGGAGCCTAGACTAATGTGCTCCCCACCCTTGACTCCTAGGGCCACACAAAAGGTCCCTTCCTGGTCAGTGCCCCACTTTCTACCATCATTAACTGGGAGCGGGAGTTCCAGATGTGGGCACCCAAGTTCTACGTGGTGACATACACGGGTGACAAGGACAGCCGGGCTATCATTCGTGAGAATGAGTTCTCTTTTGAGGACAATGCCATCAAAGGCGGCAAGAAAGCTTTTAAGATGAAGGTAAGCCCCTTTACCTCACATCTCTTATGACCCTCAGATCTGTCATTTCTATACCTCAACCAGTAATTTAGTTCCTGTATTCTCCATTTGCATTTCTCTATCCTTTCTTCCACCTATTCTCATGCCTCTGACCCCCATGGATCTGTGTGCTGGACTGGTGGGTAAAAGTTTAGGGATCATATTCAGTGACCTCTGCTTGGGGTCCCAAGTTGGAGCACAGAATATCTGAGTAAAGAATGAGGGCTGGAGGTATAGGTGCATGGATATCAAGTGGCAGCTGAACATGCAGTGGTTGTGTTGGCAGAGGGAGGCACAGGTGAAATTCCACGTTCTCCTGACATCATATGAGCTGATCACCATTGATCAGGCAGCTCTTGGCTCCATCCGCTGGGCCTGTCTTGTGGTGGATGAAGCCCATCGACTCAAGAACAACCAGTCCAAGGTGAGTGAGAGTCCCAGACCTGAGAAATTTGAGACTGTGGATTCCAACTTGCCTTGGTCTTTGAAAACAAAATGAAACAAATAAAAAACAAGTTCTGGGAGGTAGAGTTCCTGGGAACTTCTCAGGGAAAGTCTTGCCTAGAGGAGGGAGAAGACTAAGGATTTGTCCTCTCTGATTTTTTTTTTCTTTTTTCTTTTTATGTCCTCTGATTTTTGAGGGAAACAGGAGTTGGGGGAAGGGAACAGTCAATGTGGTGGATCAAACATTTGTCACTGATTAGCCTTTTCTCCTGCCTGTTTTTGCCCCATTTTCTAGTTTTTCAGGGTCCTCAATGGCTATAAGATAGATCACAAGTTGCTACTGACAGGAACCCCACTGCAGAATAATCTGGAGGAACTCTTTCATCTGCTAAACTTCCTCACCCCAGAGAGGTTTAAGTAAGTTGCTCACTAAGGGTAGTCTGCATAGAGAAAGCCACAGAGGCTCAGGAACTGGTAGAGAATGAATCTTGGATGGAGATTGGAGAATAAAGCCTGAGATTGGGGTCAAAGAATTTGACAGTTGTTCATTTCCTTATTTCCTCCTGTCTATTAGCAACTTGGAAGGCTTCCTGGAGGAGTTCGCTGACATATCCAAAGAGGACCAGATTAAGAAACTGCATGATTTGCTGGGACCTCACATGTTGCGGAGGCTCAAAGCAGATGTCTTTAAGAACATGCCAGCCAAGACAGAACTCATCGTTCGAGTGGAGCTGAGCCCCATGCAGAAGTGAGACATAAAGCAGGCTACTGGGGGTTGGGGATTTGGTGGTAGCTTTCCAGGAGTTAATGACCAAATACAATATCATAATTGCTTCCTCTATATATCTCCTCTATGCCCCTGACCTGGTCTTTAGGAAATACTACAAATACATCCTGACTCGAAATTTTGAGGCCTTGAATTCACGAGGCGGTGGGAACCAAGTGTCACTGCTTAACATCATGATGGATCTTAAGAAGTGCTGCAATCACCCATACCTCTTTCCTGTGGCTGCTATGGTAGATACAAAGAGCAGGGAACTGATAAAATGGCTAATACTCTGAAAACCTGGGAGAGACCATATTGCATGAGGGTGGAACTAGACCAGAAGGCCAAAGAATTGATTCTTGAGGAGTAGGAATTTGAAAGGTGGGGTAGATTTGGGTTTCTGGCTTTCCAGGCACACTAAGGATAAGGAGGCATGTTTCCCGACCCTTTCTTCCTTTTGCTTCCTATTCAGGAGTCCCCAAAACTTCCCAGTGGGGCTTATGAGGGTGGAGCACTTATTAAATCATCAGGGAAGCTCATGTTACTGCAGAAGATGCTGCGGAAGCTGAAAGAACAAGGACACAGAGTGCTCATCTTCTCGCAGGTGACCCATCCCCTCTGTTCTGTTTCTGCTTTCTGTTCCTCCCTTCTAGCCAGACCTTAATTCTTGATGTCTTTTCTATGACTGCTATGGTGTGATGGATTAGGAGATTCTACCCATAAGAGTGCCTAGCACAGCTACTTCATTCCTGGCTTCTGGTCCATGTTCCTAAGGCTTTTGGAAGTTAGAGTCCAGCTCCTGTTTAGCTGGTTAGGGGCAGGGTGCGGTGGAGCCATCTGCCTCTAGGAGGCCTCTGGAACTAGTGCTATTTCCTAACCTTCTTGATAGGTGGGGTCAAGGAACAAAGACCTTTTAGAAGTCCTATAAAAGCTACACTTCTGCTCTCCAGAAAACTGCACATACAGTTATATCATTTTTGTACAGATTTTTAGAAATCTTATGAACCCTGTGTTTTTTTTCTTTTTTTTTGGTACCAGAGATTGAACCCAGGGACATTCTACCACTGAGCCACACCCCAGCCCTATTTCGTATTTTATTTAGAGACAGGGTCTCATTGAGTTGCTTAGCACCTCACTATTGCTGAGGCTGGCTTTTAACTCACAATCCTCCTGTCTCAGCCTCCTGAGTTGCTGGGATTATAGGTGTGTGCCACCACATCCAGCTTTATGTACCCTTTTCTTAGGTCTCAGGGAACCTGTCTTAGTAGAAATGGTCTTTAATCAAGAGAATATGGCAAGAATGCAGAATAGTGAGCAGCTGGGAATAGGAGGAGGAAATACACTCGGTATGCTTAAGACAGGGCAGGAGTTCAGGTGTAAAGCTTGGGGTCAAATTTGAGTAAAGGGATAGTTTGAAGAGACTGGCCCATTCCACCGCCTTGGTATTTCAGACTCCTTCCTTTTCCCTTGCTGTAGATGACCAAAATGTTAGACTTGCTAGAAGACTTCTTAGACTACGAAGGCTACAAATATGAGCGCATTGATGGTGGTATCACTGGTGCCCTGAGGCAGGAAGCCATTGATCGATTCAATGGTAAGAGGGAGATCCCTTAGTTGCTGGTGGGTGTGTAAGGCCTGAGAAACCTGTGCCAGGTCCCTGGGACAAAAGGGGAGCTGGTACAGGGGGATATTGGACACTTAGGTTTTGAGTTGGAGTCATAGTCATTTGTAGTCAAGGAACATCTACAGCAGGTGGACAGAATACTGGGTACAGGAAAAACCTAGCCTCCTAATTCTCACCTCCTAGCTCCTGGGGCCCAACAGTTCTGCTTCCTCCTGTCTACCCGAGCTGGGGGCCTAGGCATCAATCTGGCGACTGCTGACACTGTTATCATCTTTGATTCTGACTGGAACCCCCACAATGACATCCAGGTGGGAACTTGCATCCTGGAGCCCCTGTGCCATTCAACAAGGAGATGTGGGTTCACAGAAAAGTGTATCATGCTGTGGGCTGGCTTAGAAATAAACCTCTTTGGGGAGTGGAGAGGGCCTTTCCCGAGCATGTGGCAGCTTCTCCCTGCCATTCCCCTGGCCCACCCCTGCTTTCTCTCATCCTTATAGGCTTTCAGCCGGGCTCACCGGATCGGCCAGGCCAACAAAGTGATGATTTACCGGTTTGTGACTCGCGCATCCGTGGAAGAGCGAATCACACAGGTAGCCAAGAGAAAGATGATGCTGACACACCTGGTGGTGCGGCCCGGGCTGGGCTCCAAGGCAGGGTCTATGTCCAAGCAGGAGCTTGATGACATCCTCAAATTTGGCACTGAGGAGCTATTCAAAGATGAAAATGAAGGTGAGAGCCTTTTCTGCAGCTCCTTGAAGCCAGCCCCTTCTCCGTGAAGCCAGGTCCTTTGAGCACTTCTCTACTTCAGCCCACCCTGGGAGAAAAGCATACTCCTCTGTAGCCTGTGAAGGAAGAAGAGTCTTCTTTCTAGTGGTCCTTGGAAGAGGGTTAGCCTCCTAAACAAACAAAAGAAAAACCCCTTGACATTGCTTCCAGGAAAAAAAGCCTTCCTTCCTGGGCCCCCAGAGTATATCCTTTTCTCCATTTTTGAAAAGGTGATGCCTGAGCTTCTGATTGGAACCCCAAGTTCTCTTTTGTTCCCCATCCCCACCAGGGGAGAACAAAGAGGAGGACAGCAGTGTGATCCACTATGACAATGAGGCCATTGCTCGGCTGTTGGACAGGAACCAGGATGCAACTGAGGATACTGATGTACAGAACATGAATGAGTATCTCAGTTCCTTCAAGGTGGCACAGTATGTTGTTCGGGAAGAAGACAAGGTGAGAGGTTTGGGGGCCAGGCATTGTCTATCACAGGTCGTCTTTCAAGGGCAGTGTCCTTTCACCAAACCTTGGAAGTAGGATTCTCCTTTGCTCTTTTTTATTTATTCTCTCATGTTAGCCTCTAGCAAAGAGCAATAGTGAACCTCAAAGAACTTCTTTTTTTAAAATATTTTTTTACTTGTTCTTTATAGTTGTGCATGACATTATAATGTATTTTGCGTGTTATACGTACATGGAGTATAACTTCCCCTTCTTGTAGCTGTACGTGATGTGGAATTACACTGGTTGTGTATTCATATATGAACATAGGAAAATTATGTCTGATTCATTCTACTGTCTTTTCTATTCCCAACCTCTCTTATTTCCCTTCATTTTCCTTTATCTAATCCAATGAACTTCTATTCCCTCCACCCATTGTGTATTAGCTTCCACATTTCAGACAGAATGTTTGGCCTTTTGTCAAACAGATTATTAATCTAATAGGTTAAACCAGACTTTGGAGAGAAACTTGGACATAGAAAGTTCTGGTAAACCTAGGAGAGTATCTCCTGAGTCAATGTAGGAGGAAGATGGAAGTATAGAAGAAGTTAGAAAAGAGGGCTAAAAGAGGCAGAGAACCAGGTACAGTGGCAGACACCTAAAATCACAGCTACTCAGGAGGCTGATTCAGGAGGATGGCAAGTTCAATGACAGCCTGAGCAACTTAGCAAGACTGACCCAAAATAAAAAAAATCAACAGGGCTGGGGATGTATCTGAGTGGGAAAGCATCTTGGGTTCCATTCCCAGTACCTCCAAAAAACAAAAAGATAGGAGAAGTACTTTGCATAGAATAAATGATACAGGAAATGATTGATGTCCAAAAACTTGAAGCAGAGCTGAGAAAGGGATCTAGGAGCAGCAAGCAGGATTTGATTGAGGCAGGAGAGTAGGGCTTTTGATGTTGCCAAATGACTGGTGAGGAAGGAGACTGCCAGCCTTTACTCTGCTGCCCTTCAGATTGAGGAGATCGAGCGAGAGATCATCAAACAGGAGGAGAATGTAGACCCTGACTACTGGGAAAAGCTGCTGAGGCATCACTATGAGCAGCAGCAGGAAGACCTCGCCCGGAACCTAGGCAAGGGCAAAAGGGTTCGCAAGCAAGTCAACTACAACGATGCTGCTCAGGAGGACCAAGGTAAGGACTGCACCAATGCAGGTGATGAGAAGGAAAGAGATGATGAGTAGGAACTTGGAGGCTGGGTCTGCTTAGAGGGAAAGAGAAGTCAAGAAGTCAGGGTCTTTTCCTGCAGAAAGAGAAAGTAGTTAGGAAGGATCAGTAGAAACTACCCAAAGGCCAGGTGGGTTGGCATGCAATTTAACTACCAGTGGGTTGTTTATAGTAGCTTTGGCAGGAGGCAGGGTGGTGGAGCAGAAGATGCCTTGGGACCAAATAGTGAATACAAATAGTTCAAGATACATGACCCAGAGTCAGGCTGTGGGCAGTGACCCCAGTGTCTCATGAGGGCTAAGGCCAGGGTGGAGGGGAGAAATCCAAGCAAAAAGGGTCCCAGCATGGCTAATCCAGGAGTCACCACTGAGTCTTTTCTACCCTCACAGATAACCAATCAGAATACTCAGTAGGGTCAGAGGAGGAAGATGAAGACTTTGATGAGCGTCCTGAAGGTGGCACATTTTCCTTTCTCCCTCAGCTCTTCCCATTTCACTTCCCAACTTTCTTTTTAGGCCTACTGTTTTTGAACAAATAAAAGTGCTTTTTTTATTTTTGGGGGGGGGGTTTGGGTAGAAAAACTAGATTGCAGATGAGCAAAAAGGAAAAAATGCTGATAATCTCCCCACTGTTAAAATTTGGAGTTTACAGCCAGGCATGGTGGTGCATGCTTGTAATCCTAGTCACTTGGGAGGCTGAGTCAGGAGGGGGATCACTTGAACCCAGGAGTTCAAGGCCAGCCCGGGCAACATAGCAACACCCTGTCCCCCTGCAAAAATAAATAAATAAATAAATAAATAACCCAAAGTGGTTACATCATTTTACCTTTCCAGAAGGAATCTTGCCTGTGTCAAATAAATATTTGACATGACTTGATTCTTTTAGATTTACTGGGTTGATAGTTCTGCAAGTAGTTGGAAGAAAATTAGAAATGAATGTGACACAACTATTCCTATGTGTCAATCTGTGGGAAGAGGTGTGGAAGAGGTCTGAGTCTTAGAGGAGGTAGATCTATTAATCAGGGTCACCCCCATCCTCAGGACGTCGACAGTCAAAAAGGCAGCTCCGAAATGAGAAGGACAAGCCCCTGCCTCCACTGCTGGCTCGAGTTGGGGGCAACATTGAGGTGAGAATTGGGCCCAGCCTCCTGTGTATTCTCTAAGGAGAGAATGAGGGCTGCAGGGAGAGAGAATTGAAAATTGAGGTCTGGATCACTAAAGTAAAAAGGACCAAGACCTAAAACCTGGTCATTTATAACCCCTGCCTTCTTGCTCTATCCTCAGGTGTTGGGATTCAACACCCGTCAGCGGAAGGCTTTCCTCAATGCTGTGATGCGCTGGGGAATGCCGCCACAGGATGCCTTCACCACACAGTGGCTGGTACGAGACCTGAGGGGCAAGACTGAGAAGGAGTTCAAGTGAGTATGGGTGATTCAGGGGTGATTCAGTTGACGGGTTAAGAACTTTGGGTATTACTTTGATTTTCTTTTTTTCTTTTTTTTAAAGAGAGAGAGAGGGAGAGAGAGAGAATTTTTTTAATATTTATTTTTCAGCGGATACAACATCTTTGTTTGTATGTGGCGCTGAGGATCAAACCCGGGCCACACGCATGCCAGGCGAGCGCGCTACCGCTTGAGCCACATCCCCAGCCCTACTTTGATTTTCTGGGCCACCATATGATGTTATCTTACTCACCTGATCACCACTTACCCTGCCATGCTGTGTCTCCTGGCTCAGTTTCCTGGGGGTGGGCTCAGCCTACACCACCTCCCCTCAGCTGAGCCTAGAATAGAGGGGCCAGGCACCCTCCTTCATGGGAGAGGTATTTAAGGAAGGCGCCTCGCCTGGGCTGGCCTAGCCTCACATTTACTTGGCCATGATAACCTGGCAGGAGGAGCTGGTGGAAAGGATGAATAACTGACTGATGGGGCCCAGGAACAAAGTATCAAAGCCCAGGATACATATACAGAGAGAGAAGTCAATAGGAGAGTTAGGATTTGGAGGGCTGAGAGCTGAGAGGCCCCATGGGGATGAGAGCCCTAGAGGTACCTGGGGAGTTGGGGTTTAGGGGTTCAATAATCTGTGCCTTAAATCCTTTCTAAGTCTCCCTAACCTTCCTCCTACCCCCATCCTCCTCAGGGCCTATGTGTCTTTGTTCATGCGCCATTTGTGTGAGCCTGGTGCAGATGGCTCTGAAACCTTTGCTGATGGAGTCCCTCGGGAGGGACTGAGTCGCCAGCAGGTGTTGACCCGCATTGGAGTCATGTCTCTTGTCAAGAAGAAGGTATCAATCTTCCCTCACCCTAAGAATCAGGGCAACCACTTAGACTCTGTTTTTCCTCTGCCTTCTGTCCTCAAATTATGGGCTCAGGCTGGTTGTAGACAGAAGGGACCAGAGCATCCTGTTTGTCTAGTGCCTGGAGCTAACCCCTGTCTCTACAATAACCTTTCCCCAGGTACAGGAATTTGAGCACATCAATGGGCGCTGGTCAATGCCGGAGCTGATGCCTGATCCCAGCGCTGACTCCAAGCGCTCTTCTAGAGCTTCCTCTCCTACCAAAACATCTCCCACCACTCCTGAGGCTTCTGCTACCAATAGTCCTTGCACCTCTAAACCTGGTAATCAGGATTCCAGGTGGCAGGAGAGAGAGAGATGGGGTCAAGAGTCAGAGATGGAACCCCTGCTTTCCTCATTGTATTCGTCAATCTTGCATGATTATAACAGGAAACCTATGGCTAACTTTTTAAAAGAGTTTTGAGTTCATGATTATGGTGGTCCAAGGTCAAAGGGCCACACAAAGGTGATGGCCTTCTTGCTGGCACAGTCCCAAGGTAGGGTAAAACATCACAGAGGAGGGGACAGAGAGTGCATGTCCCTAGGATTCATCATGGGGCTCCACCTTGATAACCTCACCTAATCCTGATCACTTCCCAAAGATCCTCCTCTACACACCATGGTTGGATTAAGTGTCCCCCCTCCTAGTACCTCACAGTGGGGATTAAATTTTAACATGTGAACCCTTGGAGGACACTTCAATCACATCCAAACCATAGTACTGTTCTGCCTTCCTCCTATAGCTACTCCTGCTCCAAGTGAGAAAGGAGATGGCATAAGGACACCTCTTGATAAGGAAGAAGCTGGCAACCAGGAGGAGAAGCCAGAGAAGAATAGCAAAATTGGGGAGAAGATGGAGACAGAGGTATGCCTTCTCTTTATCCTCTCCTCTGAGGAGAGGGGAGGAAGGGTCTTGGGAGATGTATCTTAGTAGCCAGGTACCTGGGAGTCAGTCCTCTGGCTGATCTTGACTCTCTTATCCTCCTCCAGACTGATGCCCCAAGCCCAGCCCCATCACTTGGGGAGCGACTGGAGCCAAGGAAGATTCCCCTAGAGGATGAAGTGCCAGTGCCTGGAGAGATGGAGCCTGAACCTGGGTACCGAGGGGACAGAGATAAGTCAGGTGGGTGCTTGGCCCTAAGGGTGATGGGAGGATTAGAATTTGGGAGTTCCCTTTTCTGGTGTCAGGGGAATGAAGGTGACATCCTTCCTATCCCCTGCCCCCTCCCACAGCCACAGAGTCGACGCCAGGAGAAAGGGGGGAGGAGAAGCCGTTGGATGGACAGGAACACAGGGAGAGGCCGGAGGGGGAAACAGGGGATTTGGGCAAGAGAGGTAATGGGTGGAAGGACTGGACACTTGGACGCTTGGGTCCTTGAGGGGATCAGGGGAGGTGGAGTCTGGGAGACCAAATGGCCTGGGTCCTGGGTGGGTAGCTATTGGAAAGGCCAGTACAGTACAGGTAGTAAGTAGTTTTGGGAACTGGAAGGAGGTGTCCTGAGGTGTGAGCTTTGCCCTGTCTGCCCTAGCAGAAGATATAAAAGGGGACCGGGAGCTTCGACCTGGGCCTCATGAGCCAAGGTCCAACGGGCGCCGTGAGGAGAAGGTGGAGAAGCCACGGTTCATGTTCAATATTGCTGACGGTGGTTTCACAGGTGGGAGAGGTTCTTCCTAGTATCTGCTTCTCACTGGGATCTGCCCAACCTCCTAGGGTTTCTCATTTTGCCTGAAGCTACTTTTAATTCTAAAATGGTGAATGCTGAATCTGATCCTTGCTTTAAGTCTTCCTAAGTGTACTACCAAACTCCACACGTCTCTAATCTCACCTTTATTCTCAATCTTAGAATATGACTTTGTTCATAATCAATTTTATTCCTCATTTCTAAGCCAGCTTTATTCATTCCCCCTAAGTAGACTTTAGTACTCTATAATTTTTCATTTTCTCATCTATACCTGTCTGTCAGGAAGGATGTGGTTTGCAAACCCCTGATGCCTCTGTCTGCTGTCCCCTCCAGAGCTTCATACCCTGTGGCAGAATGAAGAACGGGCAGCTATTTCCTCTGGGAAACTCAATGAGATCTGGCACCGAAGACATGACTACTGGCTTCTGGCTGGGATTGTCCTGTATCCTTTGATACAAGTACCAAAGGTTCTCTTAACCAGGAGAGAGGGTAACTACAGGAGGAGATGAGTCCACACACAGGGAAGGGAGGCTTGTACCACACTTCGGAAGATCAGACCAAAAGGAAAAAACATTTATAGCCCAAAACATCCCTGTTAAATTCCTTGATGGTCCCCTTTCCTTAATCAACAGCCACGGCTATGCACGGTGGCAGGACATCCAGAATGATGCTCAATTTGCCATTATTAATGAACCATTTAAAACTGAAGCCAATAAGGGGAACTTTCTGGAGATGAAAAATAAGTTCCTGGCCCGGAGGTTCAAGGTGGGAACAAGGGAAGAAAGGAATAGGGTTGAAGAGAAACAGGTCAAAATTGGGACCAGATCTGATTGGAACGCAGGGAAGGAAAGTTAATACTTTGAGGGTTGTGGCAAAGTTTGAGGCCAATTCCAAAGTGTAACTTTGTGTTGGGGACTGAGGTCTGAATCAGGGTTGACACTGGGGTTGCAGTTAGTATGGAGCAGCAGGTACCCTGGTCCAGCAGTGAGGGAGGATGGGTCTCCAGTGCTGTGTCTGGTCCATCATCTTGCTCACCTCTGAATAGTAGAGCCCTGCTTTCACCCCAACCCTGTGCCCTCAGCTCCTGGAGCAGGCGCTGGTGATCGAGGAGCAGCTGCGGCGGGCGGCCTACCTGAACCTGTCACAGGAGCCGGCGCACCCCGCCATGGCCCTCCACGCCCGCTTTGCCGAGGCCGAGTGCCTAGCCGAGAGCCACCAGCACCTCTCCAAGGAGTCGCTGGCGGGGAACAAGCCGGCCAACGCCGTCCTGCACAAGGGTAAGGGCCGCGGCGGCCCCGCGCGGGGGAGGGCCCACAACGCTGCGTAAGTCTTCACCCCGCACCCCTCAAAATCTTCCCACCCCTCTGACCCCCTTTACCCTCTGAACCATCCCCCTCTGACCTCTAACCCTATCCCTGACCCCTTAGTTTTTAGCTTTTAGCACTTGTGCAAGTCAGCCCTCTTCCATGCCTGATAGTGGTCATGTCAGTGCCCACCAGAGGTACTCCTCCGGTTGCGTGTCTTGTCTACACAGTAGAGCCTCTTCCTGTGTGGTAGAATTTCACACACCTGTCATACTGCTAATGCCATCCAACTTGAGGTCTTGGCCTATGTATACACCACAAAGGTCCTTAGTTCTTGTCTCACAGATCATATTCCCTCACATATTCACCCTGTGAGGCAGAAATTACCACCCATCCACCCTCTGACCCTGTGAAACTTCCCTTTGACCTTCAACCCTTTTCCCATACCCTCTTACCTTGATGATTATAGATTAAATACCAAAGCCCTTTAACCATCTAATCCTGCCTGGTATAGTGACTGACTCCTGGCCCCTTTGATCCCTGTTCTATTCATGGAATCTATAATGCTGACCCTCTAACCTCCTCTCCCCTTACATATTAAAACCTGGATTTCTGAAACCTTGGATACCACTGACCACCTCCCACACCTCCTGACTATTTCCTCCCCATCATCCCCAATCCCCCAACCTCACTCTTCCAGTATGGGATGTTCTGACAACTCCCCGCCCCCATGTCTTCCAATATCCTCCCCTACCTCTCTTTTCTCCCATTTCTCCTTTTTCTTGTTTCTCTCCATCTGTCCTCTGTGATGATCTGGTCTCTCTTTTTCCTGACACTTTCCTGAGTCATTCTTTTTCTGTCTACTTTTTTATTGCTCTCTTCTATTGCTTCTGTCACTTGTCTCTGGTTCTTTGATGTCTGTGTCTTCCTCTTTATTTTTCTGACTGTATCTGTCCATCTGACTCCTTGTCACTTTTCCTGGCTCCATCTCTCTCTTTCCCTGTCTTTCTCTTGCCCTTCTTTCTCCGTGGCCCGGGCCCCAGTTCTGAACCAGCTGGAGGAGTTGCTGAGCGACATGAAGGCGGATGTGACCCGCCTGCCAGCCACGCTGTCCCGAATACCCCCCATCGCAGCCCGCCTTCAGATGTCCGAGCGCAGCATCCTCAGCCGGCTGGCCAGCAAGGGCACGGAGCCTCACCCCACACCGGTAACCCTCTTTCCCCCTAACTTGTTTTCCCTCTCGGTGCACCTCCTTCACACACACAAACACTTCCATCAGAATCCTATACCATATGGAAAAACCACCTGCTAGACCTCAGTCTTCACCCTTGAGTGAGTCTCCCTGCCTGTGTTACACCCCTCAGTAGTTCTGGAATGTGGCTTTTGTTCCCATACATCCATCTTTCCTCTTAAAGACTATGGATTAACTAACCTCAGCTTGCTTTCTATTTCAGGCCTTCCCCCCGGGTCCCTACGCCACACCTCCGGGGTACGGGGCGGCCTTCAACGCCGCACCCGTAGGGGCCCTGGCTGCCGCAGGCGCCAATTACAGCCAGATGCCTGCAGGGTCCTTCATCACAGGTCAGCTGGTGCTTCTAATTCCCGCTTCTCCCACTTCTTCTTTGCCAAGCCTCATCCCTGCTCAGCTTCCTTGTCCTGCTGTAGCTATCTCATTTCCTTGCATGTGTCCAGTACCAGGGAATGGAGTTGTTCCGGGCTTCATTCTACCCATCCCTTTCTTAACTCTTCTTCTGTCCCCATTGTCAAAAAACCTCACCCAGTATTTTAGTGGTTCTGTGGCTTGGTATCTCCCATACCAGCCTCCTCCATCTGGGTTACCTCAAGGGAAAGTGAACATGAATTCAGAGGGATAGAGTGAGAGTTGGAACATGCATTCAGTCATATGGAGAATCTGAGGGAGGGAGCTTCGCCCTGGTCTTCCCACCCTTACCTAAGAAAATTGGGAAGTGGTAGTGGTAAGAGTATATTAATGTTCAGAAGTAACATTTGAGAGCAATGTGGGGATTGATCTTTCCTTACTCCTTTCCAAACAGCCGCCACCAACGGCCCTCCAGTGCTGGTGAAGAAGGAGAAGGAAATGGTGGGGGCACTGGTGTCAGACGGGCTGGATCGGAAGGAGCCCAGAGCCGGGGAGGTGATCTGTATAGACGACTGACTGGATCCCAGGCCTGCCCTTCACCCAGGCCCCGTCCCAGAGGCCGACCCCCTGCTCAGGCCCTGGGGCCTGCTGCCAGTTCTCCGTCTTCTCCACCCCTTGGGCCGCCATTGGGCTAAAAGCCCCTTTGCCCCTCTATAACTCCTCTCTTCAAGAAGGGACCCTTGTCTTTCCATCCCTATACACCTTTCCCACCAAGCTTTAAAGGCTGTGCTGGTGTGAAGTGGTCTGGGTGGGAGATGGTTAGCTGGGTCTTCCAAGTACCTTTATCCCCCCCACTGCCAAATATACACAGCTTCCCAGTAAATGGTTGTCAGGAGGAAAGAGATGGAGCCTCTGCCATATCAGCTTCACCTCTTGCAGAAGTGGGGGATTAGCCTTGCCTGGCCTTTAGGAACTTTTGTGGGAAGAAGAGCTTCAAAGAGAGGAGGGGTACTTTTAGAGAGGAATGAAAATGAGTCCTGGGAGGGAGAAGGGAAGAGGAAGGGTGGCTGCATGTTACCTTCCCCTACCTCTCCCCAAATGAAGGGTGGAGCAGCTATGAGGGAGGGAGTCTATTGCTGTTCAGCCTCAGAATAAAGGCGCCATTCACTGGCTCAGTTACCTCCTGTGTACCGCCATCTTGTGTTGGGAAACTTACCCCACTCCCTAGGTACCAAGGACCACCCCCACAAAGAAAGTAATGGTTGGGCGATACTCCCTCAAGCCAAAGAGGAGCTCCCCAATCTGATCTAGGAACCCAGGTAACCTAGAAAGGCGGGGAGAGAAAAAGCCGGCCAGACATGGGGGCAGCCCCCAACTCTGCCACTCAGGTTCCTGAGGGACTTACCTTTCCTTTTCAAAGCCTGGTTACAGACTAAATGTGAGTGAGCCAGGCAGGGGGACCTAGTTAGGGGACTACCTTGCCTGTGGGACCAGAGCAACATAGTGGAGGGCAGGCTAGGGAGATGTGGGCATTCCCCCTTTCTAGGAGGGGTTGGGGAGTGGCAGTTTGCATGGCGAACCTCCCACTTCCTCATTGCTGCCCCTTCACTTTCTTGCTGCCCCTTTCCCAGTCTCTTCACACCCACTCCTGGTCTGTCCCAGTCCCCTCTTCTGTATCAGGTTTATTGGTTGTACATATAAATTATACTTTCCTTTCTGTGTGCTCTGTTATTTTGGCTGAGGGAGTTCTTGGGTGGGAAAGGGATAAAAAAAAAAAAGTATTGCTTTCTGCCATTTTGTATCATCTGTCTTTTTCTCCCCCGCCCCCACCTTTTTTAACTTGTGACTTTCCTTTACCTCATTTTTGTCTCTGAATCATTCACTAAAACTGGACCCTTTTTCCAACGTCAGCTGTGTGATGAGCTCAGTGTAGAGGAGGGTGAGCAGGATCCCTGTGTGGCTTTGTGGCTTCAATGGAGTATAGAGAGGGAGCAGGCTTCCTTGACAGAGGTACAGTGGGAGGAGTGCCTGACAAGGAGTCAAAATTGCCTTCAAGTCCTTTGATCATCCTCTTCCCTTTAATGCTTAGTTCCCGTAAGAGTCAGTAGAGGTCACTACAGCTCCATAGGTTCAATTTCATATGAAGTACAGGTACTTTTGTTGTTGTTGTTGTTTTTAAGGGTTAGGGGTCAGACCTGCAATAGTGCCAGAGATGTGAACTGCTAAGACACTACCTTGGCATGTATTGTTCACTAACAGAAGCTTTCAGAAGCTGAGCAAGGCCAAACCCTTTATTCCTAAGGCTATTTCAAAAAATAAGAGATATGCAACAAACATTTATTGAATATCTACTGTACATGAACACTGTGTTTGGCCCTGGAGATAAAAGTCACAAGTTAGTCAAGGCTCCCATGTAGCTTCTACTTAGTAGAGTACACCCATAAAATGTGAAATATGAGAAAATAAAAGGAAAAATCCAATATGTTACAAAGGATGGGGAAAATAGTGCTCAAAAAAGGGAACATTTAAACTGAGAGTTAAGAACAGGAAAATACCAAATACATGTTTAGTTGGGTGTAGTGTGCATGCCTATAATCCCTGCAGTTCAGGAGGCTGAAACAAGAGTATCACAAGTTCAAGGCCACCCTTGGCAACTTGGCAAGACCGTCTCAAAATCAAAAATTTTTTAAAAGCCAAGCACAGTGGCACATACCTGTAATCTCAGATGCTGGAGAGGCTGAGGCAGGAGGATTCCCAAGTTGAGGCCCTAAGCAACTTAGCAAGATCCTGTCAGAATATAAAGGGCTGGGGATGTAGCTCAGAGGTAAAGTACCTTGGATTCAATCCCCAATTCTGCAAAACAAGCAAAATAAATCCAGGAACATGGAGATTTACCCAGGTGTAGAGCATTCCTGTAATTCCAGTGACTCAGGAGGCTGAGGAGGCCAGCCTCAGCAATTTAGTGAGACCCTGCCTCAACATATTAAAAAAAGGTGGGGGGGGGGCTGGAGATGTACCTCAAGGGTAGAGTGCCTGGTTCAATCCCTAGTAGCACACAAAAAGTTTCTAGTCTAAAAATAAATGCATACTTTCACAACTTGTCAATAATAATAAAGCTTAGAGACAAAGCTAAACAACCAGGATCCATACTTATCACTTTTTTGAGGTGGAGTAGATGGCGTTTGCCATCCTTCAGTCTCAACCTCTTTCAGTCTCAGCCTCTGAGTAGCTGGGATTACAGGTACGAACCACCACACCCAGCTTAAGTTCACATTTTATAACTCAGAAAAAAATGTAATACAATAGCTTCTTCAGCAATAGAATGATATTTAGACCTTTCAATAAGATAGTATATGGATTGTTTTAAATCATCTGTCCACAGACGATATCTTAAGAGTGTCTAGGATCTTGACCAATACTTCTTAAACTTTTCATGCGCACAGATCACACAGAATCAGAATCTAATTCAGTAAATTTGGGATCTTGAGATTCTACACTTCCAACAAGCTCCACACTGACAACAACACTGCCGGTCCTTGACCATGACTCTACTCTTAAGATATTTATAGGTATGTAATAAAATAGCATTCACAGCATGCAATAGGTAAGGTTTTCATTACAGGACACAAGTTTAAAATTATAAAAGCACCTTTTTTTCAGTAGTGCCAGGGTGTCCCTGTGACTATAAAAAATACAGATAATATAAAAAGTTTATATTTTGATGATTTTACCAAATGACTCTCCTTTCGTCTTCTTAAAAAGGTGTTTAGTTGTAGATGGACACAATATCTTTATTTATTTTTATATGGTCCTAAGGATCGAACCCAGGGCCTCACGCGTGCGAGCCAAGCGCTCTATTATTGAGCTACCCTTGATAAACCCTAATTAGGTGTCTCATATGATGTGCTCTAGCCCGTCGAATACCTGCCCTAGCAGACTGAAGAGAGATTGTGAAATGAAGCAAGGACCTATTCATAGGCAGGGAGGCATCTCAGTAATTTCTGGAACAGACTAGGAGTAGGGAGACAACAGGCATACCAACATCCTTACATGCCAGAGAAGTGAAATTAACATGCCATGAAAATTAGCCTCTTTCTCATTCCATCTTTTTAAAATATTCAAACCATTGACAACTGCTAAAATGGGACCTGTTGCTCCCACACACCACAGAGGCCCTGGACAAAAGCCAAAGCCACAGCTAAGAAAACAGTCTGTTTTCTTCCCACAGCAATGTAGGCTTTGTTTATATCATCCCTGGGCCTGAAAATGTAATGCTGGCAATCAGTAGATGGGGGCGAGTTTGTCTAGGAGGCTCCCAGCTCAGCATCAACATCTCCCAAGGCGTTTCCTTCTGCCCTGGCTCAACTCCATCACGTGCCAATACCGGGATCGGAGGGGGTAGTCTTGACATCAGTCCCCTGTACTAAAGCACGCCTGAGGCTGCAGCTCCCACTTTTCTTCTGCCATAGCTTCTGTTACTCGGTTACATCGTGCAACAGGTCACGTGGGCAATGTCCTTGATCTCTGGACAGTAGAGCACTATGAGAAAGAAGATTTAGTAGCAGAAGGAAGCAACCGAACCCTAGCGTTCCCCCAGGATCTGCTCTCACCGTTGCTAGGCAGCGGACGCCGCCAGCGGCGCGCGGGCGCCAGGACCCTATCCCAGAGCCGCAGGAGAGCGCGCCACCCTGCGCTTCTAGGGCCCGCCCCCTCCTCGCACTCCTCTTCCTCGTCGTCTGCCTCTCCTTCGCCGCTTTCCTTGGCCAGGCTCCCCGCCTCATTTCGCTCCCGCGCAGCCCGCGCTTTTTCCTCCAGTCGTGACCACAGGCCTGGGTCCACAGCGACCTCCGTGACGCCGCCACGCGGAAGCGGGGAGGGCGCGCGGCAGAAAGGACACGTGATGACGCGGCGCAGGCGCACCACGCGCGCGGCCGCACCGCTGCCCTCGCCTCGCGCCGCCAGCTCGCGCAGGCAGGCGGTGCAGAGCGTGTGGCCGCAGCGGGCGCGCACTGTGCCAGGTAGGCGACGGGGCGCGCGGCTCTCGAGGTTGAAGGGCCGGTAGCAGATATTGCAGTCCAGCTCGCTTCGCTCGGGAAGAGAGGGCACCCTCACTAGGAGCTGCATCGTACCCGCCACAGATTTTAGGGTGCCGCTCACTCAGCCGTGGACAGAGCAAGCGAACCTTCTTGTGGCCCGGGTTCGGTCCTGGGGCCCGCGCCGCGGCCTCTCGTCTCTTTTAATAGTGAGGTTCTGCCCTCGAGGCGTCAGGTGGCTGTGTGGCCACTCCCTTCCGCGGCACGCGTGGGGAGGCGCGAGGCCCGGAATGCCAGCGTTGGCGGAATACGGGAGGAGGGCCAGGAGGTGTGGGGATTATTCTGGGGGGCACACCTTGCATTGTCCCCTACGCGAACTTCTTCACCTCCAGCACAATGCCAGCACTCTTTAACTATACTGTTTGCAAATCCCCAGGCCCCTTCTTGCACTCTTGCCTTCAGTCACTGGCATCAAAGGTCCCTCAGCCTTATTTTTAAGTTACTCCCTCTTTCAAGAGTCTCCTCAAACAGATTTACTAAGCCAGTTATAGTGCCTGTTCTGCCAATCTGTAGTGGGTTCCTGGATATCTGCATGGATGCTACCCAGTGTCTCAGCCCTCAAAGGACCTCCCTTTGTTCTTGTTAAGACTTGATCTCTCAAATTTCATCCTCCCCAAACTGTTCAACCCACTTCTCAGCCTAAGAGAGGGATCTAGATTCCAGGACCTTAAGACTTAGGAATGCTGGGAATCTGTACCCTCCAGAGTATCCAGGCTTGGACACCCACACAGTGTGATGGCTCTAGCAAAACAATCCAACATGACTTCTGACTCAGGAGTCTGACTTCCTCCCAGGTAAACAGGACATGGTACTCACAACCTGCATTCCTTCATTGTGTGGCACCCACACTCAGCTGCCTCCTCACACTGCTCTCTTGGACCTACCTCCCAGGTTCTCTTGGAGAGAGTAATAACTCAGCCTCTAAACAACTGGCGTGAGTACAAACCCTACCCTCCACCAGCATTTGCAGCACTTTGAGCAAGTAATCTCTCTGGATCTTGATTTCCTCGTCTACAAAATGTGGATAACAATAGTGAGGACTGAAAAGTTTGTGTAAATAGGGGCTTAAAATGGTGCTTATTGCATAGTAAATACCAAGTATTAGCTATTTATTTGCCTTGAGGATTGAATCCAGGGACACTTTACCACGGAGCCCCATCCCCAGCCCTTTTTATATTTTTATTTTGAGATAGGGTCTTGCTCAGTTGATTAGGTCCTCACTAAGTTGCTGAGGCTGGCCTTGAATTTGTGATCCTCCTGCTTCAACCTCCCAAGTTGCTGGGATTACAGGCTATGCTACTGCACCTGACATTAGCTATTATTATTGTCATCGTGTGCTCCCTACCTATATTCACTTCTCAATACCAGATATTTTCAACATGCATCTTATATTTGGTTAATACAAGATAGGCTTCTTTCCACCCAAGGTATTTATGGTCTTATTACAATGTAGAGCTGGTTTTATTTTTTTCATTAAGTTGTTTAAACCTAGAAGACAGTCTTGTGAGGAGGTATACCATTATTTTTAAGCAAACATTTCAGAACTTTGGAGTTTTTTATCTTCATGGTCACTTGGAACCTGTCTACTTATTCCATCTACTTATGCTATCATAATTCAAAACGTTTTGGAACTACCCTTTGAAAAGATGTGCCTCACGTTTTTAAATATCTTCAACTGGTGATAAATCTTAGTCTTTTTTTTCATTTTAGTTTCTTGTATTTTTTTATTTGTTCTTTTAGTTATACATGACAGAACGTATTTTAACATTTCATACATAAATGGAGTATAACTTCCCATTCTTGTGGTTGTACATGGTGTGGAGTTACACTGTTCATGTATTGATCTATGAACATGGGAAAATTATGTCTCATTCTACTGTCTTTCCCACTCTCATTCCCTCTCCCTCCCCCCCATTTCCCCTGTCCAATCTGGTGAACCTCCACTCCTCCCTCCCCCCAGATCTTAGTCTTTTAAGGTAGATTTTATTATATAAATATTCCCAATTTTTTTGACAGTCAACAGACCAAGCTCCAGATTTATGTATCCCATTGCTAGCTCCACAGCCTTTCTTGTTTATCTTTAATTCAGACTGATAGCTAGGTGTGGTGGCCTGTAAACCTAGCGACCTGGGAGACTGGGATGAGAGGTCACAAGTCTAAGGTCAGTTTCATCAACTTAATGAGACTGAGACCCTGTCTCAAAATTAAAAGGACTTGGAGGGCACGGTGGTGCACGCCTATAATTCTAGTGGCTGGGGAAGCTGAGGCAGGAGAATTGCAAGTTCAAAGCCAGCCTCAGCAAAAGTGAGGCACTCTAAATAAAATACAAAATAGGGCTCGCGATGTGGCTCAATCCCTGGTACAAAAAAAAAAAAATTAAAAGGACTGAGGATTTAGCTCAGTGGTAGAGTGCCTCTGGGTTCAATCCCCATACCAAAAAATCAAACAACAAACAAAAAACAAAGTAATTATCTCCCTAATCAAGCTAGTACTTCTAGTGTTTCCCAACCCTTCCTTGACCCAACTCCAAAAACCAAGGTGTTACCCTTGACACCTCCTTTTCCCTTACCTTCTTTTATTGATCCATTGCCAAGCTTGGGTCATTTTGCTGCTTAAATTCATCTCTCTAATCCATTTACTTATTAATTGCCACCTTCTGCCCATCATGTAATTTAACATATTATATATACATGGAGTATAATTTCCCATTCTTGTGGTTGTACATGGTGTAGAGTTACACTGTTCATCTATGAACATAGGAAAATTATGTCTGATTCATTCTACCATCTTTCCCATTCCCATCCCATACCATCATCTCTTGCTTAGACCTTAGCAAAAACCACCTAATCAGTCTATCCACAAGCACTCCGGCCTCTGTAGGCTTTTAGATATTTACAAATGTCAGACTCAATCATGTCCTACCACATAGTCCTTCCATTCCTGTTTAAAATCTTTTAATGTGATAGTTTAATGCCCCCATTTCCTTTGCAACACAGCTTTGCCGCTTCTCTTTCAAAAATTGGGGTCTGTTTCCTTATACCTTGAATCTGGGCTGGCTTTGTGATCAGCCTTAACTAATAGAATGTGGCAGAAGTGATGTGTACATTCTGGGTCTTTCCAAGGTCTTGCAGCTTATGTCTTTGTCTCCTTGGAGGCTGCCCTGAGACCATGCAAGGAAGTAAGGCTAGACCAATGGTGGATGAGGCCACGTAGAGGAGAACAGAGGTGCCCCAACCAAGAGTCAGTGCTAACTATGAGACATGCTAATGAGTCCATCTTGGAATTCTGCTGTTAACCAGCCAGTTGAACACAGCCTCATGAACAAACTCAGGTGAAAACAGAAAGGAACTCCCAGCTAACCCACAGAATCATGGAAAAAAATAACTTTTTAAGCCACTAAATTTTGGAGTGATTTGTTGTGTGTCAAAAGATAACTGATATAAAGATTTTCCTGCTGTCCTTATGATAAAGATATTCTAAAGCGCTCTGTAATGCTCTGTGTGTTCCGACTCCACCCATGCCTCACATTTTTCTTCTGTTCTTGCCTTGGAAACCTGGGCTCTGGAAACCTTTGACTTGTGTTATGGTTTCAATCTTAAATGTCACCCAAAGAAAGGCTCATGTGTTAGTGCTGGCAGGATGTGGGGAAAAGGGTACACTTGTACATTGTTGGTGGGACTGCAAATTGGTGCAGCCAATTTGGAAAGCAGTATGGAGATTTCTTGGAAAGCTGGGAATGGAACCACCATTTGACCCAGCTATTCCCCTTCTCGGTCTATTCCCTAAAGATCTAATAAGAGCATGCTACAGGGACACCGCTACATCGATGTTCATAGCAGCACAATTCACGATAGCAAGATTGTGGAACAACCTAGATGCCCTTCAATAGATGAATGGATAAAAAAATGTGGCATTTATACACAATGGAGTATTACTCTGCATTAAAAAATGTCAAAATCATAGAATTTGGAGGGAAATGGATGGCATTAGAGCAAATTATGCTAAGTGAAGCTAGCCAATCCTTAAAAAACAAATGCCAAATGACTTCTTTGATATAAGGGGAGTAACTAAGGACAGAGTAGGGACGAAGAGCTTGAGAAGAAGATTAACATTAAACAGGGATGAGAGGTGGGAGGGAAAGGGAGAGAGAAGGGAAGTTGCATGGAAATGGAAGGTGATCCTCAGGGTTTTACAAAATTACATACAAGAGGAAATGAGGGGTAAGGGAAGAATAATACAAGTGGAAGAAATGATTTACAGTAGAGGGGGTAGAGAGGGAAGAGGGGAGGGGAGGGGAGGGGGGGATAGTAGAGAATAGGATAGACAGCAGAATACATCAGACACTAGAATGGCAATATGTAAATCAATGGAAGTGTAACTGATGTGATACAGCAATCTGTATACGGGGTAAAAATGGGGTTCATAACCCACTTGAATCAAACTGTGAAATATGATATATCAAGAACTATTTAATGTTTTGAACGACCAACAATAAAAAAAAAAGAAAAGCTCATGTGTTGAAGGGCTTGGTCCTCAGCTGGAGGTGCTATCAGGGTACAACCTTTAAAGGTGGGGCCTTATAACAGGAAGTTAGGGACATTGAAGGGGATATTGGGACCTGGACCCTTCCTTTTCCTTTGCTTCCTGACCACCATGAGATGAGAGTTTCCTCTCCAGTATGCTTCCATCATGATATTTTGCCTCACCATAGGTCCAAAAGCAAGGGACCAAGTGATCATGGACTGAAAAGTCTGAAACCGTGAGCCAAAATATCTTTCCTCCCTTAAATTTGTTTAATCAGGCATTTTGTCAAAGCAACGAAAAGCTAACACAGCTTGCAAGTTCCCTTCTTCAAAAGGCCTTTGTGTATGCTATTCCCCTCATCCCTCCCCTCTTTTCCCCCTCTGGACTTTGGACAACTGAAGTTTGTATTTGGTTGGTGGTCATTTGATTGTTTCTCTCTCCCATCAGTAAACTGCACAACGGTTGTTCTGAGTCTGGTTTTGTTCACCACTGTGTCCTGTGCCATACTATAGCAGAACTCAATAAACAAATACTTGTTAAATTCATGAATAAGGTGGGTGAGAAATATGGCTAATGTTTATATACATAGGAGGTATGACAGTAAAGGAAGGTTTTTATTTTTGGCATCCCCCCCCCCACCAAGGGGCTTCTAAACTGCCTCTGAAAGCAATTCTAAGAGGAATTTTAAAATGTATTCAGCAATGGGGTAGGCAACATTATAAGAAATGCATAACTCTCCAAGAGAACTATTTAAGGAGAATACTATTTTGAATTGATAAATTCTTGTGTGTTTGTTACAGAAGAACTAATCATAGTTTAGTCATACATTTTACTTCTTTGTTTCCTCCACAGTCTTCCAAAATGAGTGGGAGATGATAGGGGTGGATGTAAGTATTAATTAGTTGATCTTGTTGGTTGCTAATCCAGTAAATGGCATGCTCCTGGGTTCTCTCTTTTGGAAATAGGTTTTACTCTGTGCTCCCAGCTTCAGGATCAAGGCAGGATGAAGGGGGATAGAAGGGAGATGGTGAGGTTGTATTTAAGGAAGGCAGATCTCATCCTCCTCTGCCTTGTGATCTTTGAGGGTTGTAACTTTCCACCCACTTTCTGTCTCCAGGAAATCAGAGTCCTTTGGGGAAGAAAATAGGAGCAGTATCTGACATCACACCATTTGATTCTGCTTTTCTTTTACCCTCACATCACTGGTTTTCTTTTTTTTTTTCCTTTTAAAATGATAACTCTTCCATTATCCCAGCAACTCAGGAGACTGAGGCAGAAAGATCTCAAGTTCAAGGTCAACCTTAGCAATTTAGAAAGACCCTGTCTCAAAATAAAAAATAAAAATGACTGGAGATGTAATTCACTGGTAAAGCACTCCTGAGATCAATATACAGTACAAAGACACACAAATACACCCCCCCACACACACTTCTTTCCCTCTCTCTGCACTTGACCTCTCTTCCACTAAATCTTTTTTTTTTTTGAGGGGTGGGGGGTACCAGGGATTTAATTTAGGGTTGCCACATCCCCAGCCCAACAGGGTGTCTCACTGGGTTGCTTAGCCTCTCCTCATTGATGAGGCTGGCTTTGAATTCAAGATCCTTCTGTCTTAGCCTCCTGAGCTGCTGGGATTACAGATGTGTGCCACCGCTGTGCCGCTCTTGAAGCCTCTACTTCAGAACAGTCTTTTACTTAGCAATGAGAAAACTATTCTTATAGTTCTTTAGATGTGTGGGTACGGGGTGAGAAAGAAGTACAAGTCAAGTAAAAAGTATAACTAATAAAACTTTAAAAACACAAAAAGGGCAAGAGGGTCAGGCAACTGACTTTCATTCTGGATGAATGGCCAACCAGAGGAGCAACAAAACTAGGAAGCCAGATCACTAGGCGCTAAAAAAGGAAGGACTAAGACCCATGCCTGGGGTACCTAGAGCCTAAGTCTTTCATTAGCAGTGACCAGGAGCCGCGTTCCTGCATCATTGAGCTGAATGAAGAGAAAACTGGTGCTGAGAGTTTTCTAATGACAGAGGGCAAGAGGACCATATATGTGAGGCTAAAACCTTACCCTCCATCCCCTGCAATTTCAGACGCTGTGACGATCAAGCTGAAATTTTATTTACAGTTCCCTGGGAAATCTTACAGAAGATAGGCCATCATTATTGCTTTAGGGTTATTGCAGGAGGAAGACTACAGTCCTCTACTGGCAGACAGGAAGTCCAGCTCAAGGCTCAAAACTTTGTTCCCAGGTCTTTGTCAGCCCCATCTCTCTGCCCAAAGACTATCATTAATGCAAGAGGACCACCCAACTTTGTTTTCCAAGAGCCACCTGGGCAATTTTGGCCAGATCACACTGTACATCTGCTATCAAATTTCCCTCTGCTTTTGCCGGTGCTGTCACTGTTTTCCCCACTCTGGCCCCTCGCTGCAAGAACAAGGTATTACAGTAGTTCTAGATTGAAGTCTTGCACCTCCGAGCTGGGAGGTAGAGTTCTGGTTTCCCAGAGATTTTCATTTTCTTCCAGCCAGGACCAGCCTGGCTGCCTTTGTGTGGAATATCGTAAAACCACATTTCCTATGTCCCAGGTAACATTATAACTCACTTATTAGGTCCTTACCCCTTGATGACATTTCAAGGGTCACTTTTGAGGTACTCTGCATGTTCTTGCATCTGCCGTGTTTTTTCCTGAGCCCCGGCACAAGGGAGAAGAGAGAAAGGAGCGAGACCAAACGGCAGAGAGTGTACGCCCATAGCTCATGCCCAGGATTAGGAAGAAGGCCTAAAAAGGACGCAGCACGGGGTGGGCGGATTACTTTTTCTCTCAAGCCCCACTGCGGAAGGATATGGCTTTGTTCATGCGCATCGCTACTCAAGCCAGATTTGTAGTGGGCGGGGCTACCCTGGTTCTTGCCGCTGGGTGGAGGGATACGGGGGTGGAGTAAAGGGGCGGCTGCGGAGATGCGATTCTTGGGCGGTTGCAGCGGCATCAGGTTGAGTCTCTGCACTCCCCAGGGACTATTTCTTGGAATGTGATTTGTTCCCCAGGAGCCCGTCTATCTCCATCACCATCTGCGGTGTAAGCTGGCTCAGCACCTGGAGGAGAATGGGGTGGTGGACAAGGCCGTACATCCCGGGTATTGAGGAAAGTCAAGAGGTTCAGAGACCCGAGGAAGCACCACAGTAGGGACCATTAGCAAAAAGCAAATCACAGCTGTGACCCTGCCGCACTTTGTCATCTTGGACCTCTCACCTGCAAAGTGAGGACTTTGTAGTGGCTAACTTCATCGGGCTATTCTGGGTTGGACAGTGTAGCTTTGACTCCTGGGGAAGGGGACAGAGATGAACCTTGCCACTTAGTCTCCAAACTCACCTGTAGTGAGCCCAGGTGTTCCATCAGCTGCTCTTCACTGGACACCCCCAGCAAAACCGAGCTGACACCCTCACTGCGGAGACACCAGGCTGGAGCCAGAGGAGGAAAAAACAAAAACAAAAGAACTGATGGGGATGAGTGAGCACACTGGTTTCAGTGGTATTTCTGAAGAAGAGGGTAATTCCTAGGGACAAACCAGTCTTAGGGTAGGTTTGAAGAGAAGACAGGGGTTTGAGGTTTCAAGAGAAGACAGGGGTCCAGGACTGGCAGTGTCTCACCAATAGCAAGCTGGGCCACAGTGCAGCCCAGCTGGTGAGCAATGGGCAGAAGGTCCATGGCTTTGGCTTGTTGTTTCTTGCCATCCTCACTCTGTACTTTATCCTTGAGCCACTGGTAGCCCTGGAAGACGAGGAGTATCAGTAAAAGACTTTACCACCACCCATAGCATGCCAGATGGCCCCAGTTCCACCATCTCAGATCTCACCTTGATGCTGGCCCTGCAGGTATCAGGGAGTCGCCCATCATATTTGCTAGTAATGAGACCACAGGCCAGAGGAGACCAAGTGACTGAACCAACACCTAAGAGCAAGAGGATTGGGTGTGAGAAAGGTACCTAGGCCACAAGTGAGGCTGAGTGAAAGGCAGGGATATGGGGCTGCACACCAATCTTGTGATAGAGCTCAGGCAGCTGCATCTCCACTTTCTCCCTCTGAAATAGGTGGTGCTCCACTTGTTCACACACCGGAGGAATCAGATTAAACTGTCTGGCCATGGAGTAGGCTTCCTGGGTGAGGTAGAGAGGACATGGGAGTCAGAATACCCTTTCCATTTTCTTCCTCACTTCCTCCTCCAGTGCAGTGGAGTCTGGAGTAGCCATATGAAAAGTGGGAACCAGTTTTGGGATGGGGGAAGTGGGGTCACAGACTCACCATGATTTCTGCAGCCCCCCATCGGGATGTCCCCCAATATAGGGCCAGCCCTTGGTTGATGACGTAGGTCATAGCTCGCACAATCTCTAGGCACACAGGAAAGGAAGAGCTTCACTGCTAGACCCCTAGAATCTACCAGATCTGCAGACCTCTGCCTGCCCTACCAAGATCCCCCCAGGTATCTCCATGCAGCCAAAAAGGTATATCTATTTTCCACCTCCCTCCCTTGTCCAAGTCCTGGAGTCTAAGCTTCTGCTGTGGAGTGTGGGAGGCCTTCTGAGCTGGGGCTAACTTCTTGAGGGTTTAAGGAAGTGCCCAGTTTTGAAGGGCTATCAGGTTTGGGAATGGTACTTTTACCCTCCATAGGACTGTTAGGGTCTGAGCGATTGGCGAAGACGATATCCACATATTCCAGCTGGAGGCGTTCCAGGGATCCTCGCAAGCCTTAGGAGGGGGTGAGGAGAAAACGGTAAGTTCCTCAGTTTCTGATTCCTATGAATTCTGACTACCCCATTGCCATGGCCACCTAAAGCCTCCAATTCAAAGCTTTCGAAAATGTTCCCAACTCCTCTGATTTCTATGCCCATCCACTTGAGTTTCCCCAGTCTCTAACTCTCACCTTCAATGATGTGTTTGCGACTTAAGCCTCGTTCAGTTTCTGCCCTATAGGAAAAAGGTAAGTCAAAGAAGAGGTGTGACAAAGATAGGGGACCAGGGTTGGCCTGGAGTCATGAGGATTGCATGAGTCCTCACAGGCAGGACGGGAACCTACAATAGCAAGTATGGGACAGCAGTCCTCACCCGCCCCATACACTTCTCCCCAGTCACGGTGGAATAGTCACTTACTGTCCTCCCCAAAAAATCTTGGTGGTGATGACATAGCTTGATCTCCTGGCAAAAGAGAAATGGGAGAAGCAAAAAGTAAAGGATGTTTGGATGATCATGTCCCCAGAAACCCTCCAAAACATGGTCTCACCTCCATCCTTTGTGCTTGAGGATGTTACCTAGGGTTCTTTCAGCTCTGGAAGAAAAACAATGCAAAGACACTGATCTCTCCAAGGTGGATCAATTCTTTCCCCTCCTCCCCACCTTTTGCTCTTTTGTAAAGCAAAAAACAGAAGCCCATTTGGATTCTCAATTTCTTTTGGACTAAATAAGAGTGGCTTCTGGAGCTAGGGGTATAGTCATACAATATTCATTTATCAATTCAACAAATACCTCTTGTGTATCAACTATGTATCAAGCCCTATTGTGGGTTGCTAAAGGGAAAGAATAGGATGAGGAAAAATGGAACAGACTGGTAGAATTAGGGAGAACACTGCCTTGTCTGGTTTCAACCATCTGGGTTGCCTTCCCCCTTCTCAGAACTTCCCACCATTAAGCTCAGTTCAGATTCTGCCTCATTCATTCTAAGCTCAGTTCAGATTCTGCCTCATTCATAGAAGGTGCTCTGATGGCCACAGTCTATGGATCAGTCCTTCTTGTTAGCTTCATTTGAATTGGTTACACAATTCTTTAGCACATAATTATGAGCTAATTTGTGTCAATTCTTAAGTTGCTTTTCTTTAAAAAAAATGTTTTAGTTGTAGTTGTACATAATACCTTTGTTTTATTTATTTATTTTTATGTGGTGCTGAGGATCAAACACAGGGCCTTGCACATGCGAGGCGAGCGCTCTACCACTGAGCCACAACCCTAGCCCAAATCTTAAATTGTTATGGTGAACTCTTTTTTTTTCTTTTCTTTTTTTTCTTTTTTTTTTTTTTTAACCCACAGCACCTCATAAAACACTGACTCCAAGACCTGAAACTGAAAGCCACTGGTCAGTTATGTATTGCTGGAGATGCTGTGGCACTGAAATGGAATCTGCCAGCTACAACCAGGCCGACGTGTTACGAACAGTGCAATAGAGTGAACTCTTACTGAAATGTTTTACTATTGTTTGATTTCCTGTATTTTTTGTTGTAACCACTTAGACCATACACATTATGTCAATGTTGTTTGTTACTGGTAAAACCCAGGGACACTTTACCACTGAGTTACATTCTCATTCATTTTTTAAATTTTGAGACAGGGTCTTGCTAAGTTGCTGAGGCTGGCCTTGGGGATGGAACCCAGAGCTTCATGTGTGCTAGCAAATACTTTACCACTGAGCTATATATCTGGCCCACTGTGTACTTTTTTTTTTTTTAATGGGAATTGAATCCAAGGGCCCATAACCACTGAGCAATATCTCCAGCCCCTTTTTTATGTGTGTATTTTATTTAGAGACAGGGTCTCACTGAGTTGCTTAGGGCCTCACTAAGTTGCTGAGGCTAGCTTTGAACTTTCGATCCTCCTGCCATGGCCTTCAAACTGCTGGGATTACACTGTGCACTTTTTGAGAGCATGTTGATTTTATAGCAGAATAATGCCTGCTCTGTGCTAGGCTCTGTGAAGGGAGTTGGGGAAAAGCAAGACAAGTTCCATGGAGGGAAAAGCCTCTGATATAAGCAGAAAATATAGATAGTTAAACCAGTAATTAATTGTGTCAGAAGGCAGTAAGCTTATAGGGGATGGTGACCAATTTTAGGGAGTTGGATAAAAGCTTCTTAGAGAAACTGATATTTAGGCTAAGTCTTAAAGATGAGCAAAAGGGTCTGCAAGATGGAGAAGAGGCAGAATAGGCATTCTAGGTTTTGGCTATTCCTAGTGAGAAGCCACAGGTATATTATTTGGCCTGATGAAAATACAACTTTGTAGTTCATATGTAGTTGTACATAATGATACTCAAGATATGTTTGTTGGGGTTTTGTTTATTTCTTTGTTTGTTACTGGTAAAACCCAGGGACACTTTACCACTGAGCTACATTCTCATTCATTTTTTTTATTTTGAGACAGGGTCTTGCTAAGTTGCTGAGGCTGGCCTCAAACTTGGGATCCTTTTGCCTCAGCCTCCTGAATTGCTGGGATTACAGGGTTGTGCCACTGCACCTAGCTGTTAGGGTTTTTTTTTTTCCTTCAAGATAAAAATTTTGTTAGTTTTATTTAATGTGACTTACACAGTATGCCTACTGGCCTGTAAGCTAGAGAGGGATGGATGCTAGGACTATAACTCCTATAATGCTCTGGGGGCCCATGTCCTGAAAGGCTGGACCTTAGTTTTCCCAGAAATCCTAGAGTTCTTTAGTGGGAAATAAGAAACCCTGATGTTCCCTCATCCTTCCAAGTGTAACTTAGTTCTTTCTCCCCAGTCCTTACTTTCCTGCTGCATACACTTCAGCGGTGTCAAACAGATTTATACCATGCTCATAGGCAATTGTCAGCACATCTTCTGCTGTCTAGGAAGGTGAGAGAAAGAGTTGAAGATCACCCATTGCCCCTCAGTAACCTCCCTTGCTGTACTCCAACCCATGGCACCTCATCCCTTATTTCTATATTCTTTCCCTTTTCTGCAGTCTCCAGCCTCACATCCCTCCTTCCCCATGCTTGCTGTTCAAACCCCTTCCCAGGTCCCTTTTTCTGATTTCCTTACCACCACCCCACCCTGCTTCTAGGTTCCATCACTTATACCTCATCTGAGATCTGAGAACCAAATGTGACCCAGGTACCTGCAGGAGAGAAGCCAAATACATGAGAACTGTGTGAAGTGGGCCATGAAAGAATGCCCCCTTCCCTTAATTCCTGTTCTGACTCACCCAGGCCAAGACAGGACACTCGAAGACCAGACTTTCCTAGATTCCTGTAGGATACAGAAGCAGAGGGAAAGACTGGCTCTTCCATTATGAACCTAGGTCATCAGCCCCCAGCTCCTTTCCTTCCAGACTGAGAAGCCCTCAAGGTGTCTCAGTCCAAAGAAACTAGACCCAGTAGGCCTGTGGGATTGGGCAGTACTTACCATAGCAGATTACCTAAGAATATTATTAAAAGAACAAGTGAACAATAAATGGCTGGATGCCTCTATTCCCTCTTATCGTATTGAAGATGTGCTGTCTGGTTTGTCTTTCTTCTGGGTGAGTTCTTGCCTGTATTTGAATCATCTGTGGGATGTGTGGAGTAGGGGGTTTCAGGGAATGTGGATAGTTGTGGTGAGTACAGACCCTTCAGAGAGTGGCATGCTTAGGTTGACTCCAGGATGGCAGAGGTAAACCAAGTCAAGTTCAGGTACTCAGTCCAGGGTCTCTGGCTATACCCACAAAGACATAACAGGAGACCTGGCGGGGAATGTGACATGAAAGCCTCTTCCCCTCTCCATCTCTCAGCTCCCATTGTCTTGTGGAGACTATCTCCTAACCAGTGAGCCCATTTCTCCTCCCAAGGGGTCCCATCCAGGTAGTCAGCTCAATTTCCCAATTGGGACAGACACATGGAGGGTATGAGATTACTCAGGTGACAAAGCCAGGTCAGATCAGTGACCTCTACTCACTACCAATCAGGAGCCCCTGTCTCTCAGTTCTCTAAGATAATGTCAAATTTAAGCCCGCCCTCCATCCAGACCAGTCCTTTATCCTGAGGACTTAAGATAGTAGTCCTTACTTCCCACAGGCCCCAGTCCCCTCCCCTTCCTAACCCCTGAGAGGTCAAAAGAAACCCAGCTCTCGGGGATGGTGGGGGCAATATCTGGGTCAGACACTCAGAGCAGGCCAGAGTGAGAAGTCGTTTCCCTCCCTCCTCTCCCCAGGACACCGACCCAAGGACACTATTGGAAGGGGGCGCAGCCTGGAGGTCCGTGCATCCACAACCTTCCTAGGGGTAAGGAGGGAAACTCAGGAGCATCCCCTGGGTTTGACAGGACTCAACCTTGCTAAACTTGATCCTGTTGGGAGTATTGATGGAGAACAAGAAAAGGACCAAGTAAGAGAGTGTCAGTGACCGGAAGGAACATTTTTACCAAAGTTTGAAAGGGTTTTGGCGGCCATCCCAAGGACGCCGTAGGGGTCCCGAACCGGGAGCAAATGGGCAGGCTGCCCGGCCACCCCATACCTGTATTTCATGCCAGTGCTTCGGCCGGTGCTTTCGCGCAGGGCCCCAGCGGGCGCTGGAGGTCGGGGAACCAGAGCGGCTCGGGCCTTAAGGCCGGACCCGCCACCCCCCGGAGGATTCCCATGCCCCCCGCCGACTGGCCCTCCATTACCGCCCCCGGGGCCCGGCCGGGGTCCACACAGACGGTCCTCACTGCTTCGGCTGCGAAGGTTCTGTTCGGTACACGCGATAGACACCTGCATGCCGGCTGGCCAGGGCGAGGGAGGGGGCTCTGAGGGGACAGGAGGAAGAAGCAGGGACACCCCAGCGCGGACACCTGGGGTTGTAATAAGGTGATCCCTGGGAGAGCGGGAAGGCTGAGGTGGCTGCGGCGGGAGCCGCCTGGCAGATCGGGCCCGCGGGGGCGGGCTGCTGGAGGTCGTGGGGTTTGCGGCGGGAAGAGAGAAACGCTGGGGGCTCCAGGAGTGGAGATATTCAGATACGGGGGGAGCTGTTCAGGGAGTAGGAAGTGGATGAGGGTAAGATCAAGGGCGATCCTCAGAAGGTGGGGACCCAGGGACAAAGGGTGGCGGGAGAGGGATGCCACTTTAGCCGGAACCGCAGCGGGACCTATTGGGGCTCCCAGCCGCGTCGGCAGCCGGCCCAGCTTATCAACATGCAGGCACCGCCCCCTCTTCTGCATAGAACCGCCCACCTCCCAGCCAGACCAGGGGCACATCTGCATGAGCCCCGCCTGCTGAAGGCTCAGTGACTTGATTATTCCGTGTGCTCAGAAGAGAGATCCATCCTAGGCACGTAGTTGCCATACTTTCTGGACCCGACGCATGTCAGCCTTCCCTCTACTCAGTGGTTCTTTGTCGGGAGGAATATGTCCCCCAAGAAACATGTGACAAGGTTTGGAGACACTCTGATTGTCACGACTGGGGGTGGGGAAGGATGTACCACTACTAGTACCCTTTAGCAAAAAGGGTTGCGGCTAAAATCCTACAAAAACACAAAAAAAGAATTTCCAGCTCAAAGTGTCAACAGTGCGGCTATTGAAAATTCCTTGGGCAAAACCTCTTTGCAGGCTTGATGGGTACAGCCGCCCTAGTTTCTGCTTTTATCTGGGGCAGGACCAGGCGGCCCACTCAAACAGACATGCTCAGGCTGCAGAAGGTGACAAAAAGTTTATTCTGGGCTTCTCGTGGAGTCATATAAGGGTTAAAAACTGGAAAGAGGACGAGTTGGAGATATAGGGACTCCTGTGGGCTTCATTGTGAAGAGGAGGGGACGGGATGGAGGACGGGCTTTTGCTTTTGAGGAGGGTAGACGGAGGGGCTTACAGCGGGGGGCCACAAATTAGGAAGGGCCCCAAGCAGTTCAGATTCTCCTGAGGAATTAAGTAGCTCGCTTCAACCCGCTCGGGCAGAGAAGAACGGCAGAGAGCGGACGTAAGAGTCCAGCCGGGAGCGGAAAAGTTCACTTTGCACAGTTTGGCCCAATGGGCATAGGGGATTCTTCACCACCAGCTCCACGTACAGCTGTGGAAAAAGACGGTGTAAAATCCTGGCTTTCTGGACATTTCTAATTTTCAACCCCAAATGTAGTATAACCTCAAGGGTGTATGAACTCACAAGGAACCAAGACTGGGAGGCAAGCCCTCCCTTAAGAGAAACTGTCTAAGGATCCAAAGACCTCTGAGAAAACTCTTAAATTCAACAGATGTACAACACAGTAGGATTAGGGCTGGAAACTTGAGGGATTTTGGGGGGTTTCTGTCTGTGGCTATTAAGGGGTTCTGATGAAAGGATCCCTCAAGGGGACACTGACCGCGCTGTAGATGTGGTGCAGCACATCTCGAATGGATCCCACGCCTAAGTCAGTATTCATGACAACCTTGATCCCAGTGGGCGTCTCGTAGTAATGGAGTTTGTAACGGCTAGTTTGGAAGGCCAGGAAGCCGTCCTTCCTGCAGAGATGAGGAGGGTGTTAAAGATGGCAGAAATACTTCTGATCCTTCAAAGTCGACTCCCTATTGTTTAAGCATACAGTTTGTAGGAACCCAGTTGAGTAGACACCTCCCATCTCCACCCCTCAGTTTAGCCCCCACCTCCAACCTCTTCACCACCTCACCACTTCCCTACTCCCCTTCCTGCAAACTTCAACATTCTTGTTCTAAGCTTCTCTAATTTCTCTTCCCCATTTTGGGAGCCAATCTCCCTTTCATTCTACAAAGTAAGCCCCTCTGCCCCCAAATTCCCAATACTAGCCCTCCTTCTCACGGCGTACATGTCTAGCGGGGACATCTTGCTGACAAACGAACGGATAGAGAATAGCATCCCGTACATCAGCTTGTACTCCTAGAGGGAGAGGGACAGAGTTAGGTATTGGTTGTCGGAAGAGACCAGGTGGAGGTTGAGAATCAGCCGGGATTTGGAGAAGAGGGGTTGGGCTGGGACTATGTACGTTTGGAGGTGCGAGGTCACCCGGACTGCAGCCGGGGCCATCTCATCACCTCCTCCTTGGGGATCCCTGCTTGCTTCTTGCGGTGCCACTCGCTGTAGTGCAGACACACTCCATTCCGGTCAAATAGGTATAGGTTGTGGACAGTCATCGACAGGACAGGGACTGTAAACCTCGTTCCAGGACCGCTCTCACTCAGTAGGCTCGGATTCTCCGCCGCAGATCCCTCCAACTAGGTGGAGACTCCAACCCCGGATTCACCGGAATTGCTCTGAGTCGTGGTGCAGTTACTTCCGGTTTCCTAGCAGCCCCGCCCCATTGGGCGCTCTAACTGCAAAACCGGGGCATTAACTCCGCCTCAACACCTTTCATCAGACCCCGCCTCCCTCCATCAACCAATCCGTGGCCGCCAGGATTGCGCACGCGCGATCAGGTTCCCAGACTTCAAATGCGGTGTGAGCCTCTGCGAGCGTGGTGACGTTCTTAAGGCAAGAGGCGGGGCGGCGGCCGGCGGCTGCCAACGGTTTTGAGCGTGGAGGACCGCGCTAAATCGGGGGACCTTGGTCTTTTCCAACCCAGGCTCAGGTTAGGGCCACAGTCCCTTTCTCCACCTTGGCAAGTTGGGGGCTGAGGACTGGAGTCGCGGAGAGTGGTCGGAATCGGGTGGTCACGGTAAAGGAACTCAAACTTAAGTGCGACATGCTTTTTAGGGATGTTTCAGAGTGTGACTGAAAGTTCACAAGGTTTCTTTTGGGGCAATTGTGAGTGATTCTAGGGATCCTCTCTTTGACTTTCTAGGAGGGATTGGAGGAGATATACAAGGCAACTGACCCTGGGTAGAACAGGTGAAGTGGGCGGGGACGGACAAAGGGCGAGACTGGAGCTCTTGTGGTATAGACATTGGACCTTACTGGTTTGGAGTCCCTTTCAATTTGCACGTTCTGGGTGTGAGAATTAAGAGCCCAGTTGACTAGAGATAACTTGTGCCGAAACTGGTCTGCAGCTTCCAGCACTCTAGCTGCGAAGAGGAGCTGCAGTGGTGCTGTTTCCTCGCTGTAGGTCTTATGTCCTTACCTCCCCTGTGCTGCACCCTCCTTTTCCACCATTCCCAGGAGCTGGGAAAAGGAATGCCTTTACCCTCTCCATGGCCTCTAGAAACGGTGGAAATCTTTCATCCGACCAGAAAGCCTTGAAACCCTTGTTCAGCCGGGATCCACCAAGGAGTCTTCCTTCCTTCTCCCAAATCTTCCTTCTCCAAGGAAGTTTTCCCATTGGACTCTCTCAAAGCTGAACCAGGAGTTCTCAGCATTCTATTGTCACCGGTTATTTTTTATGTATACTTATGGCAACCTCAGCTACCAGACCCAGTTCACCTCTCCGGCCAGAGGATCTCCTGAGTGATTCGTCAGAACCCACTGGGCTGAACCAAGTGTCTTCTGAGGTGACCTCCCAACTCTATGCTTCTTTGCAACTCAGCCGTCAAGCGGAGGCCACAGCCCGAGCCCAGCTGTATTTAGCCTCTGCCTCCTCACCTCCTCATGAGGCCTTAGAAGGTTTGGCCCAAGAGCTGAGTCACAGCTTGTCCCTGGGATTGGAGAACAACTTGAAGAAAAAGGTGAGGAGGTGTGTCTTAGGAACCCCAAAGGTACTAGACACAAGAGCCTTGGGATTGCAAGTTAGCTCTGTTGATTGAATTTCAGTTTTCTTTACACTACATATTCAGTCATGCTTGTTCCTGGGAATAAATGCTTATGAGGCAGGCAATGATATGGAACACATAATTTGGGAAATTATGAAAAATTCCCTTTTTTTTTTTTTTTTGGTACTGGGGATTGAACTCATGGGTACCCGACCACTGAGCCACATCCCCTGACCTATTTTGTATTTTGTTTAGAGCCAGGGTCTCACTGAGTTGCTTAGCACCTTGCTTTTGCTGAAGCTGGCTTTGAATTCGAGATCCTCCTGCCTCAGCCTCCCCAGCTGCTGGAATTACAGGCATATGCCACCACTCCTGGCTCCCTATTTTTTGTTTATTTTTTAAATCAGAGACATGCACACTGTGGGGTAGGTTGGTGTCCTATAACTAGTATCTGGACATGGGAATGGGGATAAGGTTTCTTGGTCCAAAGAGGGAACTGGGTACTTAAGAATAGCAGCAAAATATGCTAAGATCCTTCCAGCTCAGTACTGTTTTGATTGTATGGATCAAAATTTGGCATATAAATCCCCTGAATCATGGTTTAATCAATTATATCTGTTATAAAGAAAATAGGTATTTGTGTTGGATAGAAAAGATGTCATAATCAATGTACAGACTGGTTAGGACTTCCAGAATTTGAACTCTGATAACTATGAGCTACATGACTTTTAGGGCATTTGCTCTTTAGTTAGCAAGAATTTCTACTACCTTTTTCTTACATGTACCCACTTTATTCATTTGCATGAATTTTTGTGGTTTCTATAGGCCTTTGGGTTTCTGACTCAAGATTTAAGAAGTCCATGCCGGGTATGGTGGCGCACGTTTATATTGGGAGGCTGAGGCAGGAGGATCGTGAGTTCAAAGCCAGCCTCAGCAATGGCGAGGTGCTTAGTAACTCAGTGAAACCCTGTCGCTAAGTAAAATACAAAATAGGGCCAGGGATATGGCTCAGTGGTTGAGTGCCCTGAGTTCAATCCCTGAACCAAAAAGAAAGAAAGAAAAAGAAAGGTTAAGACCTTATGGGTTGGTTTCACTTTTCTAGATTTTCCTGGTGCTAGAATAAAAATTTTACCCTGACAGTAGGTAGAATGTAGATTATAAGGTTATATTTCCATGGGGCTTTTTTTTCTAGGATGGTTCTAAGCATATCTTTGAGATGGAAAGTGTTCGAGGTCAGCTTCAGACCATGCTCCAAACCTCACGTGATGCAGTCTATCGTGAGTAAACCCCTTCCATACAGTTCTGAAGGACAGCCTAGACGTAAGGGGTAGGAGAAACTAGAGGAGAAAGACTGGGTGCAAACTGAGACCTCTGAGACAAGAGATTTCAGGATTAAAGGCACCTGTTCTTTGGGGGAGAGGGTGAAGAGTGGCAGAAGTAGAAAGGAAGTCCCTCTCCTCTCTTCTTCTTCAAATAGTCACTATTCTGATCCTTATCTGACCCTGGCTATGTGGTCCCCTTGGGCTGTGTGCAGGGGATTCCCTCATTTCAGGTGCTGCCTCAGAGAGACGAGATGAAGACTCCTTTGACAGTGACAGC